AGACTCCTCAACTCGTATGTCCCTCAGCTTCCACAAGGCACAAAAGTACTTTGTGGACGAATAACATGTCAGTATAAAAATTTCTTGGTCAAAAAAAACTCAATTTCCAATTTGCATTCTTAGGGACTATGGCGTAGGCGTCCCTCCTAGGAGGAAGAAAGCACCTGAAGCTATGGTAGGGACTCCATCTTGCTCACCCTTGTTATTCTAGCCCCTGGCTCAGTGCCAAGAAGGCCCTATGTGTATTTCAAAACAAAGTAGGGCAACATGTTCTGGTACAAGGCAACAGTAGAACAATCACCCAAATGTCTATTCACTACTGCCACTGTTTGGGAGAATCACTATACTAGTGAGGAAACCCTATACAGATTTCATGGTTGTAAGAACATTCATTAGTCAAGGAAAAGGGGATGGGTAGATGACTATAAGGATACATCACCAAACTTGGGTGAGGTGCAAATAGTGATCACTGAATGTCTTGATTTCTCTATCTCCTGGGATCGTCTATACGTACATTTTGTGTTTGTTATTCTATGGATGTACACTCAGTGTTTGCTTCTGAACAGAAACAATTTTGGCTAACAGAAGCCAGACACTTGCCAGGTTAAGCTCATATAATGTTTACTATTCCCCATGGCGACTCTGCAGTGATGAAACTTTTTGCTCTGTAAAACAACATTTAGTGGGCTGCATGCAGTCAATTCTCCTTATCTGAGAAGGGCTCCATTCTATAAAGTCACATGAAGACTCAACAGTGAATGGTGGCCCACTTCCTAGAGAAAGTGCAGGGTTAGGCTCCTGCAAGCCTCTGGTTACATTTTCATCAACCAATCAACATATAACTTTGTTTTCTGTGTAAAGACACCTAATATAACATGTATTGTTGATTCAGTAACATTAAGTTCATGCCCAGTGCACTAAAACTCATGCTTGAATGAAGATTATATAACACATGTAAGGCACATCACAGTGTTCTTCCACTTAGAACCCTAGGCAGCACTTCAGCACTACACTTGGACCATTTTATACAGCAAAATCACCAACAAAAAACCATAACCATAAAAATGGCACTAAATAGACCATGAAAGTTATTTCTGTTCACAATAAAATTGTTGAAACAAGAAGGCACAGTACTATGAATACTGATTTGAGCTTACAAAAAATGTCAGTGAGCAGGTGAATAACAGCATCAAAGCTGTTCCTGTTTTCCTATTTAGAGTCCCTCCTGACCCACCGGGATGGCTGGACTGCCTATCTTCTGCTTCCTGGATGAGTAGGGCTAATGGCAGGCCCTAGTGGGAGATTTGCAAGGCAGGGGAAGGTGGTAGGTCCTTATACTCTCCCTCTATGCCGAGACACTAAAGTCCACAGGTCCTGTCAGATGGCCTCTCCATGTATTTTTCTCTTTGTTCTTCTGTTTTTTTTTTTTTTTTTCTAGTACTGGGGTTTGTACTCAGTGCTCTACCACTTCAGTCATGCCCCCAGTCCCTCTTTCACTTATTTCTCTGTCTCTCTTTTTCTCCCTCTGCTGTTACCCTCTTAGGTTAAGGGGTAAGACACAGGAGTTGCTAACCTAGGGGATACTGAAATTCTTTGTTGGTTTTCCTAAATACTCTCTTAACTTTTAAAAACAGTCCTTTTATTAGACTTTCTTCACTTTCCCAAACGTGCCACCTGTGTCCCTCCAGACCTCTGGTTTTGCATCAGTTAACATGGGAGAGGCTTCAAAACTACATGGGCACCATAGGGAATTCAAACTCCAATTTACACAGGCTCAAACATTTGAGAAAAAACTGTAATTAGGAACTGGTTGTTTCTCTTTATTTCATCAAAAGTGCCTGGGAGGGAAGGCAGAATTGGTACCAATAAAAACCTGAGGCCTGCTTCTAAGACAAATAAAAAAATCTTTCTAGGAGAGCATCTAAAACATTTAATTATATCTACCAATGCAGATTAGAGGACTGAAGGTGTGGCTCAAGTAGGAGAGCACCTGCTCTGCAGGAGTGAAGCCCTGAGTTCAAATCCCTATCCCACCAAGAAGAAACAACAACAAAAACAGATTAGAAAGGCAATGACTTTTTTTAATAGTACTGGGACTTGAACTCAGGGCCCGGTGCTTCCCAGGCAGATGCTCAATGGAGCCTCCAACCTGATTTTTATTATGTTGTTACACACTTATTTCCCATCAGGTCCTCTCCTCTCTGGCAGAGATTGTCATCTTGCTTTTTTCTTAAGACATCCAGGTAGCCAACATGGGAATGTACGTGGCAGTTTCTGTTTTTCTGACTCTTAGAACAAGGTCTTCTTCTCCTCCCTGTCAATTTCAGTCTTGATGTGCAGGACTCCTGTAGGAGTTTATAACACTGCTGTTCACATCCTATCCATTACAGATTGTCATGTACTATGGACCTTGTTAAAGATTTACCAATTTTATGCTTCAAGGACAGGGTGGTACATCCATACTCTGAAAACAGCTGACAAAGTGGTCCTTGTCACATGCTTAGTTCTTATTCAGAAGGAGCGCTACTGATACATTTCCCCAACAATGTCTGCATTTTACTTTAGGCTGATTTTTTTAGGTTCTCATAACTACTCCAGCCTGTTACTTGGACAGAGGAGTACATCACCTTTATTTTCAGGGTAAATTACTGGAAAATGTTTATTTTCAAATCTTTAATTGTTCTTGGCATTATTGCTTTCCTTATCTAATTCCAAACAAAATGCTGCACTCCAGAAGTCTGACTTGGCACAGGGCATAAAGATGATTTCTGTAAAGAAAGCCTTTCTTCAGAGAAAATCCAACTGTTAACCTTGAAGGAAAGAGTTCAAAACCAAGTCCCTTCCATGATGGGTTTCACACTTGAGAGCAAAACGTAAGAGCATTACCATTTGCCCAGGCATTTCAAGGTGGGAAGACAGAAGAACTGTTAACACCAGCTAATAACCAACTTTCTTTCTCCCTCAGGAAAATTAGAAAACTTTAATGTGTTTAATACTATTTTAATATTTAAACTTCATGAAATGCATTCAATATATTACCCTCTTTTTTCATGCTCAGTTTTTAATTTTGAGGGCCATTTGACACTAGACAATTTACAACAGAAGTTCTTAAACTGTTTGAAGCTTAACACCTTTTCTAAACTTAAAATTTATTGAAGACTCCAAAGAACTTTTGTTTATGTGGATATTGTGTCTCAATAGTTACAATATTAGAGACTAAAACATTGAAAGATTTGTTAATCAAAATAAACCTATCATATGTCAACAAAAATAACATCTTTTAATGGAAAAAGGTATTTTCTAAAAGAGAGAGAAAAAAGAGGAATAGCATTATTTTACTTTTTTTTTTTCTTGTTTTTGGGACTGGGATTTGCACTTGCAAAGCAGGTGCTCTACCATTTGAGCCACACCTCCAGTCCATTTTGCTCTGGTTATTTTGGAGATAAAGTCTTGTAAACTATTTGCCCAGGCTGGCCTTGAAATGTGATCCTCCTGATCTCAACCCTCGAAGTAGCTAGATTATAGGCATGACCTACTGGTACCCAGCTGTCACTTTACTTTTTTCACTTCTCTTTAATGTCTCACTTTACAGGCAAAACCTGCATTCTCCTACAATCTACGTTCAATTTGTCTGATGTGTTATGGGGGTTGATGTATACAAAGAAAATCCAGCATCACCAGACATCAGTAAAGACCTGGAAGACTTCATGAAAGGGTTCCAGAACCATACTTTGAGAACCAAATGATTATAAATCCAGTCCACAGACTGGCTCACATCATGGGAGATGTTTGCTCATGGTCCCTCCTTACTGGCATGAAAATGTTTAAAAGCTGCAATACTGACTTGTGTGCCACCATATCAATGTCCCCAAGTTAAGATAAAACAATTAAGATGTAAGTGAAATATATGCACCCCTTTCTCTCCAAATGAAGAATTGGTTAACCTTATTTTTCCTTAAATGATGAGCTCCCTTGCCTCTTTCATTCTGCCCTGGCTTGGGTAGGGAAGGGGAGGCAGGCATTCCCAGAAAGAATATAGAAAATGCAGGCAGAAAGCCAGCATTTATTCATATTCCTAACTTTATTTAAAAATTGTTTAGTTAACAGATAAGTGGCAGCATGGCTATCCTGTTTTGGCAAGAAACTTGCAGAAATTGCTACAGTTATCTAAAATCATGCTTTCTAGTCTCCATGGGGATGGGATAGGGTGATTCTGTTTTCTAGCAACTCAGAATCTGGACCATAGCAACCAAGCAGAAGCAGGACCTGAAACAGGCTCTGGCCATGAGCCTAGTCTAGTCTCTCCTGGCTTTGTGCATCTGGCCCTGGAGGAGAGGTCCAGAGTTGGAGACACTAATTAAAATTACAGTCAGATTAAAATAACAATAAAAGTCGTAAGTCAGAGAAAGTGTTTGAAAGACTGAGAAACTTTATGGTAGATATACCAGCCCTGTTGCTAGAAGTGCTCAAGCACTCTACTATAAACTGGCCCCTCAATCCCTCTCTGCAGAGAAAGGAGACTTTGCTGAGAAGGGAGAATGGCAGAGCTTTGGCTATTATGTTTCAGTTGCCTGAAAATCATCTTAATTGGGGCTCAGGGTGGAGACAGTGGCTGCAGGGAGAAAAGCTCTGAGTTGATGCAGACTTATCACCAGACTCCAAGATAACTGACTACAGTCACTATCATTTGTATCTTCATGGTACTGGAGTTTGAACTCCAGGGCCTTGCACTTGCTATGCAGGCTTTCTAATACTTGAGCCATGCCTCCAGCCCTCAGTCACCACCACTTAACAATAAGTAAGACCTGAGAAATGGTCCCTAGGTAAGTTGTCAATGTACGAACATCATTAGGAGTTCTTAAACTTAGATGACTATGATGTCACTAGGTGATACAATTCTATGAGGCCACCATTGTATATGTAATGTAGTCTGTAGCTGGCTAAAATGTCATATGTGGAGCACGAGTGTCCTTGAAAGCCACTTGAGCCCCAGCACTCACCTCATTGAAGTGGACATCCTGCATCCCCACGTCTTCCATCATGGAGGCCTCCTCGTCGATGTTTGGGGTAATGACCCTGAAGGCTGTGCATCCCTGTCTGAACATGCCTAGGAGATGAGAAAGCAGAGGGAAGAGAGCTGTTAATCTGAGTGTGGCAGAACCTCGAAGGTCTTTCCTGCACTGTGTTTCTGTGTTGAAAACGGAAAGTGATTTTAAAATCTCCGTGTCAGGTCAGTGTCCACATGAGGGGCTGGGGACCAATATGTGCTTTTCTCCACTCAGTTCCACATATCTCACCTTCACCTCCCTCACCTTGTTTCTCAATCCTTTTCAAATTTTTTACTCATGTTTATTAAAACATATTCAATATTTAAATAAACTATCAACCAAGAAATAGTTATTGAGTCAAGTTAATAGGAAGACAATAACAAGTAAACAAGAAATTTGATTTGGTAAGATGAACCCTGCTCAGATACCAAGAAAAATAAAGTCAATGAAAGAGAAATATGTGACTCAAAATAACTGTTTCCTTCAAGCAGCTGGTCATTTTACCCATTCAGGCTGGATACAACCCATCACTCAGATGAGAACTTTCCTTCTGAACGCATATAAAAATGAGACATAACAGCTTGTCACTGCCTTAGCTGGTTTCCACATCAGATTCCTGGAGGGAAAAGAGAAGCCTTTCTCTAGGAAGCAGACAGCACGAATACTTCTGGGACCCACACATCTGATTCTCTAAGTTGGAAGTAAAGATCAATGTCTATGATAGGAATAAATTCTTTGAGCAGTAATAGCCCATTTGGGGCTTTTCCTCATGTTGGAGTCACTGAAAAGCAGTTTTAAGCCAGCTGGACTATGATACCTATGCAAAATGCTCAAGTGAAGAGGGGCTTCAAATGTTCTGCTACTCTGTTTTACTCTTCACAATAAAACAAAAGTGAGCCAGGCACCATGGCACATGTCTACAATCCCAGCTCAGATACCAGGAAGCTGAGGCAGGAGAATTTCAAGTTCAAAGCCAGTCTGAGCTACATAGTTAAGACCCTGTCTCAAAAATCCAAGGGCTGAGGCTGTATCTAACTGGTAGAGCACATGCCAAGTACATACAAGGCCCCAAGCTCAACCTCCAGCACTGCGAAAAACAAAACAAAACAAAACAAAAAAAGGGAAGTCAAAACTTGAATCGAGACCTCTCATATTTCATGAAGAAAAAAAAAAAAAGAAACAGAGAATTTTGAAATCATGCTTTGAAAAAGTAGAACCTAAAGTTATACACATCTGCTGCACATTAGTCTAGGTTTTCAGCCACTCCCAGGTTACCTAGCATTTCCACCACAGTCTTAGGGCTGCCTTGCTTTGATTTGGTTATATGGAAACCAAAGACTTCCCAGTGAAAAGCATTAATCTAGGAACTTGAGGATACAACAACACACCCAAAATAAAGTAGTAAAAGCCAACCAGCAATGTTTAGGCTACAGAGTACATTTAAATATACCACTTCACTCCAATGGAACAATCAAATGGTGGCCAAAGTACTTTCTTCTCATTGCCATAGAAACAGAGTCCAGCAACCTGGAGAACCCAGGAAAAGAAGGGAAGGAAGGACAGTGCAGTTTATTCATGCAGAGTAGAAGCTGAAACAGTGCATGACATGTGAACAAAGCAGATGGGGATGCTTGGGAGCTGGGCGACCCTCAGGCTCACCTCCCCGGTTCCTCCTCTGGCAGGTACTATGGCTGTAGGGAAATAGAGGTGGCTCCCGCTGGAGTGCAAGTTCAGCTTCTAAATATGAGGAAATGTATCACCTGATAAAAAGCCTCGTTTGGCAGGAAATACTAAGCCCTTTTTCAATTTCTTTCTCCCTCTGGCTGTGATGTATGACAAACCCAGACTCCCTCAAATTGAATTCAAAATAGTCACCTGTACTAGAAGTAGACCTTTTGTGGCCTTGGCATCTGTGACTTTAAAATGCTTCTCACTTTGTAAAAATACTCCTTGTTAGGCCAGATCTGGTGCTGCTATTCTCCACTATGACATGTGCAGCTGACCAGCTTTTCTAAGAATCTCAATATTCTACAAACGAATGTCACCCATGGGGCTGTACTGATTTGGAAGTGGAAATGAGCAAGTGGGGTTTAACCAGAGGAAGCATGAATTCATGCTTCCTTCCTCCCACTAGGAAGTGTGGTTGCCTCCTCACACATAAAGCAAATCGGGCTGTGTTCCAGAAAATCTGTCTACTACCTTCCTGCCACAACTGTTTTTTGATTGATAAAGAGTTACAGTGGGAATTATCTTAACGGAAAATAAAATCTTTTCAGCTCTGGATTGGCTAGTCAGGGACACACCGATCAAAGCTCATGAACTGGTTTTTGCAGAATGAGTCAGCAGTAAGAGGCTGTATGGCAACATGCCATTTACTTTTCTTCTTAATACTGACGTTTCTGCTGTACCCAAGTCAAGCAAATGTCAAGTCAGGGAATAAAATAATGAACATGCTTTGTACTCCCACACATCTCCCACCTCCAAATCTGCCTAAATGGCTCTCAGCTGTCTTTGTTGATTTGTACAGTTTTATACTCATTCAAAAAATACAGAAATCATTCTTTACCTTTCCGTGTGAGATATTCTGCCACCAAGGCTGTGACGTGGACATAGCACATTGCTGCCTGAAATAAAAGACATGCCTCAGAATCAGCATTTATAATAGCACATGTAATGAAGGTATGTGCTTTTATTAGGTCTGAAGGCACCAACCAGCAATTAGAATAGCCAACATCTCACCTTTGAAAAAAGGGGAGCCACTGATAAAAGCTGAAAATTTAAAACTGAGAAGTGAGACAAATGGCAGTAAATTTGCTATTCTGTTTCTACTTACAATCATTACATTTTAACATAAAAGATAAAGCCAGGATTTTTTTCTTACCATACCTAAGGTTTCAAAATCATTTCTCTTAAAGCAAAAAGAGGATTGTTTGAAGAAAAAGCATGCTTCTTAGATTCTGAGAGAATGACTCAAATTCCAGGTGCTAACATAACTTAAAAAAAGTGAGGCTGCAATTTTTTCCAAACACACAATTCTAATTATAAATTTTGGGCAGGTGGTGTAGCTTAGTAGTACAGCATGTGCTTAGCATGGCCTTGGCTCAACACTATAAAATCTTAAAATGAGAGGAAAAAGTAAATTCTTTTCACCAAGTTGCCAAGTTGTTATAAAATCAAAGCCAGCTGTTGGAAGTGAAGGCGTGGCAAGGTTCTAATGCATGAGGCCCACACTACATGGTGTCCTTACCTAGCCCACACATATCTTCAGAGGCTGCTTGACGTACGTGTGTGTAAATGTGTATCGGCAGCACAGCAAGCACTCTGCCTGTGCAAAGTGTGTGGAGGAAAGTCTGTCAGGGTGTTAGACTCACTACACTGTCTAATCCTAAGAGGTGGTGCTCACACTAACATAGTTTATCCCTCTCTACAGTGTACAGTAAGAAAGTAAACACACAGCACAGCCATGCAAATATGTGATGGTTTACTGCACAAGTGCACAATACCAGACCTGGTGTGAGCAACAAAAATCCTTATAAATAAGCTGCCTTATTCCCTAATCTACAGAGGGTACTGGACTGGATATTGTCTTCTCAAAATTCCTGATCTTCCTGGGACTTCAGACTGTGATGTTAGGTCTGTTGTAGATGGGAGTTAAAATGAAGTCATGCTAGTATTGGGTGAGCCTAAATTCAGGGCTATCATAAAAAAGGAAAAACACAGGAATACAGACATAAGGGAGGATGCCATGTAAGAAACGATGCGTCTACGGGTCAATGGACAACAGGGAATACCAGCAACACAAAGACCCACAAGAAAAGCAAGAAACGGATTCTCCCCTGGGATGTTCAGAAAGCAAGCACTACTGATACCCTGATTTTGAACTTCAGCCTCAAAAACTGAGAAAATAAATTTCTGTTGTTTTAAGCTACCCAGTTTGTAGTATTTTGTTATGGCAGCCCAAGAAAGCTGATGCAGAGGGACAACTGAGGCTCAGTGAATTGTTCCTTCTTTTTAAAAGATATCTGGCCCATACAAGTCATTTTACAAAGTCTTAAATTCTAAGAACTGAATTCTGAGAATAGTACAAAAAGCTATTATTACTACTATTTATTTTTCATAATGGCCAAAGCGTAGTTTTGGTTAAATTTATAGCCAAATGGAATTGTCATGATATATGTACCTTTTAGCATACTGGACTCCTTAAGTAGTAAAAATAGTTACATAAATTTTTCCGACTTGGAATATAGTTTTGATAATTGAAATAATTATGGAAGTTTCAAAGTCCAAGTGTGCTTGCTTTGGCAATACTGGTATCATACTTAAATGTCTCAGGCACAAATTCTGTGTTCTAAATACAGAACCTGTGGATAGTCTATTGTTTCCCTTAATTTCCCATGTTACAAGCAAAGTCACCAAGTCATAGAGGGGTTAAAAAAAAGCAGCTCAAAGTCAGAGTTGGGAAATGTGAGATCTTAGATTCAAAGTCTGTCTCTGGAGCTCAACATCCAACTCCCAGCCATGCTCTGTATAGATGGGAACACTTGAATCTGTACTGAATTCACAAAAGAAGAAAGTGATGCCCTATCATTACTCCAGTAATAGGAAAAATCAGTTTTATCATAAAATAGCTAACATTTAGAACTACAAAGGAATTCTGATGTGGAAACTGGTGTGTAATTTAAGAAGCAGGCAATTATCTAGGTATGTAGACATATCCCCTTACAATCTGTTTTAAATTATCAAAATGTTCAGGTAACTATGAACTCAACTTGATTCTATTTCTCATATTAAAGCTTGGTTTAAAGTACCACACAGTTTTAATTGGCTTCTTTTGGCTAATGGCACAATTTCCCTCAAACTGGCTTCTGTAATTGAATAGGGTGTAACTGGTTTTCTCAAAAACCCAGATAAGAGGTTGACAGAGCTACTCACCTCTGAGAGATCCCCATTTTTGACGTGGATCCTGGCCATGCTGTCAAGCCATGTCTTCCTGAGCTCAGGGGTGCTAGCATAGGACTTAGCCAGGCTGTACTGGAGATCCACCAGCATCTCTGGGTCATTTTCATGCTCCTTCATCTGGGCTGTGGCCATCAGGACTGTGCGTATCCTCTTGGTCAAGTCCTTCACATCAGAGGAGAAGCTGGTGTGCTAAGCCAAGGGACAGAGAAGGAAGGACACATGACTTTCACCACTTTCTGCCTGACACATGCACAGTGCATGATGAGGCAGTCTAAGGGGTGAAAGGTAAAAGGAGGTGGGCCACTCACCTTGATGAGCCGGTCACTGTTGGCACAGTTGTTGATGATGGACAAAGACTGCTGGAATCTGGTCCCCCCAATGCCAACAACGTCTGCAATCAGCTGGCTGACGGAAATGATGACCTTAGGGACACAGAAACATGACCGAATCAGTTCACACTCAGACGACATTCCAGGCTCACTTTGTGCTCAGTTAGGATGTGCATGAGGCCAGTGCAAAGCTGGGATGCTTGGAGCTGGGACCATGCCAGTGTGGAAAAAATGTCTCAGTCTTTTTTGCCACTTCAAAAATTACTCCAGAATGTGATTTTGTTTTCCTGATGAATTTCATGTGCAAGAAAATGCTAATCAGGAGAGTATAGAAGAATATGAAACAGATAACCCCTTCACCTGAATAGCTGAGAAAAAGAAAGATTTTATTATTTACCTCCCCAGGTTTTATTTTGAGCTCATAGGTATTCACTAGGTGACTAGTCACATGCAGTTTTACCAGAACATGTTCATGTTAACTGTGTAATAGGGAGTTTGCCCTTTCTTGAGTCTGTGAATAGCACTGCCTTGACCCAGTTGCTTAAGCTCAAAATGGAGACCATCCTTCCCTCATCAGACCCAGGTAGAGTCAGTCACTAAGTTTTGTCAACTCAATGCCTCCTTGCTTTCAATCTCATCATCCTCATACAGGATACCATCCTCTCTGTCCTAGAATTGACAACAGTCTTCTCTAGCTAACGTCTAGACTCCCACAATCTTTTCTTAATACTAGAGTCCAGGAGATTCCTCCAAATATGCAATAATTTAGACATGCAACAATGTGTGCTACTGAACTTATCACCTGTATTTTAAATTCTACACTGAGGAACTTCTCCAGTTCCCCAGGTGGGTGATTGTCATCCATGGCCTGGACATATTCACTACTGCTACCCTCTCTTCATCCTTCAGGTCCTCTGAAAAGCCTCCCGTCTTCAGGATCTCTAGTCAGACACTCCTTCTGGTACACTCAAGTTCCTCTATAGGGCACTGGCTACATCACACTGTAAGGGCTTTGGGTTTTTCTGGCACCTCAATCTGACTGTACACTTTATAGGGCCAGGAGAGCATTCTCTACTGTCATGAAACCTAGCATGCAGTATGTGGATAATGAATTCTGCTTCAAAAAAGGAAAAAATGCATAGATGGAGAAGGAACCCCTACTAGGTGTTCTCAGAAAAAGCATTTAAAAAATACAAAGGACTTGTCATTACCTTGGCTGGTTCTCAGAACAGAGAATTTAGGATGTTTTAACTCTGGAGAGACATCAGGTGTGTTCGGAAATAAAAGGCAGAAAAGAACTACTTTGGGCTTTTGTTTCATACCGAGGATGTTTACCATTCAGCATCCTCACATAGGATCTGCCATTTCTTGATTCAACGAAATTTCAGTTAGTCCAAAATTGATTCAATATTTAAATCAAGTTACCAACAGAAATACATCTGGGCCAAGGTCTTATAGTATAGAGCATGAAAGAAACCACACCATTAAATGTGACTTCTCAATTTTGCAATACTTATGATGAGCTAAGTTGGTACATGTGACACTCAGTCTCTTGCTAAAATAGGATTCTACCAAGTAACTTATGTACTGGAAAGCTAAACCACACTCACTTGCAAGTGTGTCCGGACAAAGGACTTCTTCCCGGTGTAGTCGAAGTTGTTCCTCATCAGAAAGTAGAGCAGCTGGGATGCCTCGGTTCGGATGGAGCTCAGCTTGGAGTTACAGCACTTGAGAATCTCATAGCACAGAGCAGCACACATGTCTGCTCTCCCTTCATAGAATGTTGAGGGGAACTAGACAGGACACAAGGCAGACATAGCACAGCAAGGTTAGCGCTCAGTAATGTTCCTTTCAACTTTGGGTAGAAGGGAAACTTGTGACCAGCACCAATGGAGCAACTTACCTTATAAATTAATGACCTTAAGGCAGTGAAGACATTTCTTAAAGCCGTTTCAGACTGATGTTTTTGAAGAAAACACAGGTAGACATCAAAAACCTTTTTCATGAGAGGATTATGTCCATGGTCGGCCAAGAGCTGGTTCTTAAAATACACATTGAGAGCACATAAGACATACCTGCATCTTTAGAAGGTTTCATACAATTTTCAGGCTCAAATATCATATTTTCCAAGCATTAAGACAACTTATAATTTAAACAAATTCTACTATGAGTCCTCTAGGAAAGCAGAGTGCTCCTGTAAAACAAATAAATCTGTGAACAGTACAGTTCATAGGAGTACTGCTGCTTAGTATGGACTGAGTTTCTACTTATTTACTTATTATTACTATATATCAGCAGCTGATATAGAACTAATTTTTGTAAGATCTTGATTCAACAGAGGAGTGTCATTACAGTTGTTAGACAATTAATGGGCAAGAAAGAATTCAAAAGTAAGCAACGTAAAGAAGGTCCTCTAAAAGTAAGGTCCTTCCCCAGCCAGTCTTCCCAGGCATTCTGCTAAACTATTGATAATCAGACGGCTTGGTAGAGTGAGACATGTACAGGCTTTTGTCAGGCGCCACTTAACATGTGCATGGATTTTCACAGGTAAACTGAACCTCAGCATTCTCACCTGTAAAACAGCAACTCTAAAACTGACCTTGCATAGCTACTGTGAAGAACTGAGGTCATATACTTTGGTCTAGCTCAGTAAATAGGTGGCTGGCAGGACTTACCACCCAGGGCTACATTTCATGGATTTTATCAGACAAAACAAGAGGCCGGATACAGTGGTTCATGCTTGTCATCTCAGCTACTTGGGAGGCGAAGATCAGGAGAATCATGCTCGGGGCCAGCTTGGGCAAAAACTTGATGATACCCCATACTAAGCCGGGTGTGATAGCATGTACCTGTGTCCCAGCTATGTGGGAAGCTGTAGGTAGGAGGATCTGAGGCCAGCCCAGGCAAAAATGCAAGGCTCTATCTGAAAAATAACTAAGCAAAAAATGGCTGTGGTGTGGCTCAAGTGGTAGAGGGACTACTTTAGCAAACATGATGCTGAATTCAACCCTTAGTATGACCAAAAGAAAAAAAAGAGCATCACAATTAATTGCTGCCAATCATTCTTCAAACTTCTTTCATCTCAGCAGAAAATCCACACTCATGTAGCTCCCATCAGCTGCTAAATGCACACGGCAGCTGCAGGTGCAGCCCAGCAAAAAGTCAGCATGGAGCTTAATGTCCAGATAGGGGCTGAACCAGAGAGTGCAATCTTTAAATAAGGCGAGACCGGCTGAACGAAGGTGTGTGTTTGGGAAGGATATGCGAATGCATTTTGCTCAAGGAGGCAAAAATGATTGTAATAAAAAATGTCAAGAGACTGGTATCTCTAGCCAAATGAACAGATAATTTATGTTTAAATAATTTTGATATACAGCAAATTATGGTTGGAGTCAGAGTCTCAAAGCAAAATTTACCTCATCTTATTGTTGGAGAGAAAATCTGACTCAAGGGAAAAATTATTTTTTTCGGTGCAGTGAGTGTGGATGAATCACAGCTGGTAGAACACCTGGAATTCAGTGATCTTCATATCATGAAATACTGGAGCACCAAACTGAATTACATCATGTAAAAAAGGAACAATTTAAAGAGCAGAAAATGTGACTAATTAAATGAATATAGAATTCTCAACTATGAATGACTGTGACACACACACACACACACACACGCACATGCACGAGAAACTGCTTACAAGTTTTCCTGGCAGCGAGCACTATGTACCTAGGAATCACAGTTTGGGCCTTGCTTTTCATGATACATTTACTGCCCTAATGATGGCTGGGTTAAGGGGTGGAGGGTCTGCAAAGGAGCTTTCACTTCGTGAGCACTCTGCTGGAGCTACCCAGGAGAGGTGGAATCACAAGAGGTGATCACAAAAATTGCTAAGACCCAGTAGTTCTGCTGTCTGACTAGGTCCTTGTCTCCAGGTTCTTACTATTTGTGGTAACTTTCTCCTCCTTCTACTGTCTGGTCAAGGCTTTTGCTTTCCATTTCAGGATTTAGTCCTCTTTAGCAAGAATGAAATAAAAGCTCATTTACATTAAGATGCAAATATTCTTTCATTTAAAGGGGTAAAGAATTTTTATCCTGGACACAACCCTACTTTACCAGTTATCTTCCTTTATTTTCCAATCAGACTTCCCTTTTTTCTGTGTTTCTCTGCTGCTTTCTCATCAACCAGAGTATGACACACACTAAATGCAAACATACCTTTGAACATTGAGAAAGGCCCACAGGGGGAAAAAAAAAAACAAATTCCCATTAACTTCTCCACTCAGAAATAACCTCAGGTAATCATGTACTAATCGTTTTCATTGTTAGAGGATGCAAAATTTTCATTTATGAAATGAAACGAGACATTCAAATAACACACAGGCATGACTTATTTCTAGCAATGAAGTGGAGATTAATGCTCCAGGGACCATCTATAACAGGTTCAAGTTTGACTGCTGTAACAGTCTCAGGGTGCTTACAGGAAAGGGCCGTCCAGGGACCAAATGCTCAGTATCAAGGATTCCTAAAGACTCAGGAACAAAGAGGAAAACAAACTTTAAATCTTGGGTCAAAAGGAGACACATGAAACAAAGTTACTTAAGACAGCAAAGTCTTCTCCAAGCACATGGTATTTATTTTTCTATAGAAATTACTTAGAGAAAAGAGTTACCTCAGTTCCAGCAGCCTGCTGGTCACTACGATGACCCAAGTCTCATGCGACTACATCAGCCTTGGGTGCTTAAACCAGAGCACAAATGGCCCCTGAGGCAGGTCTCCATGTGCACCTTGCTCTTTTAGTTCCTAGTGCTCCCTATGGTTATGTACTTGCTCTCACTGTGCAGTTCAAATTTTAAAAAAAGACACTAAGTATAATTGCTAAAAATAAGTTTTCAGATTAAATTTGTGAAAATGTTTAAAATATTAGAAAGTATTAAAAGGTCTACCTAGGTTTGAGATTAATAGATATTGTAAGACAACCACAGAAAAATCACATTTTTCTGCAGGTAACTACCTCAGTTTACTCTTTAGGTACTGAGTAAGATAAAATATTAAAGTGCCCAAGTGTAGTTGGTACCTGGTAAGTTCTTGGTAACTTTCTTTTCTCTGTATGAAAGGTAATTACAATACTTTGATATTCACTCATCTATCTCTTACACTTAAACACACACACACACACACCACTCCCTGACCTTTGGATAAGCAAAATTGTATAGTGATCATGGGTGAATTTCCTAACCTGTCCTGCCTCAGTTTCCTCATCTGTAAAGTGGGAGTAATGAGATCTACAGGCAGGGCTATTGTGAAGATTAATGCCTAAGATGCAGAAGGCACTCAATAAATAGCAGCAAGCTAATATAATAATAACCAGAATTCAGGGCTCAAATATCTTCAAACATTTAATCTTATTAAGAAATTTGGATTGTCTCTGACAACTCACTAGACATGGTCAATTAAAAGAGTCAGTATGACAGGGCTCCATCTGTGGAAGATCTGTTCCTTGCACAGAATAAGGTCAACTAACTTACTTTTTTCTTTTTGGTTGAACTGAGGTTTGAACTCAGGACTTCACATTTGTAAAATAGGTGTTCTACCACTTGAACCACACCTCTAGTCCGTTTTGCTGTGGTTATTTTGGAGATGGGGTCTTGAGGGGTCCTGAACCGTGATCCTCTCAGATCACTCTGCCTCCCAAGTACCCAGCTCTAACTCCCTCTTACAGTCCTTGAGACGCTCTGACAGGTGCTTCCACTGTGCAAATAATGGGCCAAGGAAGCTCCCAGTGGCTGCTGTGCCATTGGCCTCAGGTGCCAGTGACTCTGAGGCAGGTAAGCCTGACGTGCCATATGGCCTGACATCTGGCGATGCCAAAGACTGCACCTACAACATCTTCCACTTCAGGTGGAGTGCTGAGCTTTACACAGAGGGCATACAAAGGCTGGCAGTGCTCACCCTGTTCCAATGTCTTGGCAATCAGGACAGAGGCAGGGGGCCCTGTGAAACCAGTGCTTGATGCAAAACTAGAGGGAGCCTGAGCTCCTACTATGTTCCAGCCCCAGGGTGGATGTTTTCAGAGATTTCACATTTGCACCTCCACCTTATACAGTAGGCATAGCTGTTATGTTTTAGGTAAGGAAATCAGGACTGAAAGCAGACCCAGTCCAAGGCTGAAAAGCTGGCAAAGGATAGAGGTGGAATTTGACTTCTGCTGTCTCCAAGTGTACCAGAGCCCGATATGCACCAGCAATGTGCAAAGGCCCTTTCTAGGGACATCTCACTCAAAACTCACAATGGCCCCGTGCGCCGGACCTATTTTCCAATCTTACAGATCAGAGTACTAGGTCTGGTTACATCAAGTATTTTCCCCAAAGGCATTCATTCAGCTCATAAAGTCATGACCAGCTTTCATCAGCAATCATCAGATGACACTTCTTTCTTGGGATTCAGAACCTACTTGGTGACCAGACATTTGGAGACCTGGAACCCTGACAAATATCTTTCTTGAACATTAGGCAAGCAATGGCAAGGAGGCTAGCTGAGAGCTGCAGGCTACCCAGTGAGAAACTGTCACCATTCTCAGGTGCCACCCAGGATGCACGTGTGCAGCCCATGTGCCTGCTCTGCATACTTCCTGCTGGTGTGCATGGTGGGGCCCAGGCAGGGTAGAGAGACATAGCACCACAACTACCCTGGGCTAAAGGATTTGTGCTCAGCACTGACACATGTGTGCATGGCCAAACATTCACATTCAGAACCTTAACTACTTTTATATAACAGACTTTGACAAGAAAACTACCCAAAAGAAAACAGAGGTTCCAAAACTTTTTTGATGTTTCTAGTATAGCTATTATTCTCAAGCTATGGAATTTGGGTCTCACGCCCAAATTCTGCCACCCCAGACTCTTTCCACCAAGGTTTGTGTTTTCTCATCCCTCAATTAGGCTCCTAGTAACAATGCTTTTTGAGAGACATAGCAGTGTGGCTGCTGAGGTGAATAAAGGTATGCGAGGTATGCTATAATAAAGTGACATGATATCAGGGTCACTCTTTTTACTTTCCCTAGTAAAGAAATGTGTAAGTAAGTAGTTGGGATAAGTAAAACAGAAAATGTCTTTGGTTGTATTTCCTAAATACCCTTGGAATTAAACATACTTCCAGTATTCATAGCATTTTCATACAAACTCATACTAACCCTTTCTATGCTAGAAATTGAAGTAATCATTAAGTGACAGAAAAAGTTAGATTCCTAAGCAAGTGAATGACTTCAAGAACCCAATTCCAACTATTTGAATTGTTATTTGCTAAAACTTAAAAACAAGACAAAAAAATCTTTCATTTCTTATCCCTGATTTATTTCCTTTTGTAACAAATAAAAAATTGAAAAAGATTAATGAGTTGCATTGATTGTTCCTCTCTGTACACATCTAATTTTAACTGCTGTAACATCTGCATATATTTAAAGACAACTGGCAGAAACGCCTGAAGAGGTTTGCATATCATTATGATATGCAGGAGATATGCTTTCCTCTAGCTGGAAGTTAACTGCCTCCACAGACCATTTCTGCCATTTCCAAATGCGTGGTCCAGTTAAGCTTTTGTGTATTACAAGGAATTCAAGCCATCTACTCTGAAAAAGTTTTATTAAATGATTTTAAGGATTTACAGCAGCAAAAACAGTTAAAGTATATATAACACCGCCCCACCCCCATATGTTTGTGCAGGCTGAGCTTAATAAACCGAATGGATTTAACAGGTAAACTCTGACCATGAACACTGTTTAATACAAACCTTGAATGCCAGTGTAAACAGGGAAAGGGTGTCCAGGGCCGTAAGACAAACCTCAGTAGCAATGTTGGCTTCCAGGAGGGACTGGTGAAGAACGTCTGCATCTGAATGGCCATAGCCTGTATGAATTACAACACAGATTATTGCCCAGCACTTCACAAAGCAACGCTGGCAGCTGGGAGAGTCACAGTCAACTTTTGATTATCTACAGGAAGTCCCCTTCTGGGGCCTTGTTTCTCTGTTTATCTTCGTTTTCTGGGGGGAAGGAGTAGTATAAGTAATGTTCCCATTAATTATGAATCTTTGTCAATTGTGGAGGGGCAATGACAACAGCAAACATTTATTGTGTGCTTGACATGTAACAGCCACGATTCTAGGAACTTCACATGTACTATCTCATTTAATCCTTCAGTAGCTATGAAGTATGCACCTTATTAAATCCTTTTTTGCAGATAAGGAAACAGAGGCACAGAAAGGCTAAATTACTCATCATATGGGTAGTAAACAGAGAAGCCAGGCCTGGCACAAGACAGGCAATGGTCAATTCAGCCACTTGACTGAGCTGTCAGAATGGTGGCAGTGCTGAGAAAGAGTGAGATTTCCCAAGCTTCCCACATAGACAGAGGCAGCAAAACAGCACAGGGGTTAAGAAAATAAACTTGACATCAGGTTTCTGGTTGCTGAATCCAACTCCACCAGTTACTAGCTGTGTGACACTGGGCAAGTTACTTTATACCTGAGTTTCCTCATCTGTAGAATGGAGTAATGGTATCTACCTCAAAGGGTGGGGTATCTACCTCAAAGGGTGGCGGTGAGGATTAAATCAGTTAATATATGTGAAGTTCTTAGGATGGTGCCTGGTACACAGTGAGCACTATAAAAGTGTCAAATCAGTTACATCAAGATCTGTATTACTAGCTAGAATCACGAATGATAACCAAGAGTTGACTGCACTGTGAATAGTTTTCTACTTTCTTTAATAAAAAGCACAAAAGCCAAAATGTTTGAAAGAAATGTTTAAGAAAAGCAAAAGACTTGAAGACTCTAGCCTAATCATACATAATTTAAATACAAACTGAAATCTTCTATAGGGGCTGCAAAATGAGTTTAGTTCTGATATAAATGCAGTTTGACAAACAATTTGAGATATTAAATTATGACATGGTTTGCATTAGCAGAAATACAAACAGGGATGCAAAGATGTTACAGTATTGATCTAGATTACACAGAAAGATGGCAACATAGTAAAACATGATGTAATGTCTTTCTCTAAGGAGTGAAAAGAAGTCAACACTTACTAACTGATAATTTTCTGAATACTCCAGAGAGGAGGACATTTGCATATAGATCAGGAAAATGCAGTACAGAAAACCTAGGAACTTCTTTGAGACCACTAACGGGGAAAAAAACCAGAAGCTACACTCCAAATTTTATCCAGGTTATTGTATCAAAGTACACATTAGCCAGAAAAAAGAAACTGGCATGACATCACTCTGACTTAAATAACTGTTAGAGTTATGGAATAGTCTTTTAAAGGCCACAAAAAGATCTTTAAAGCTAAAAAAGTGCTTTTATCCAATGTGGCTTTTACAAAGGAGTTCTGAGGGCTGCACTACTTTTACTCTGTGGCAGAGCCAATGTCTCTCTGTAGTGAGGAGATACAATGCACTTAGAACTGTGCTAGTTCTATTTACGTTTCTTTTTGATTTTTGGATAAGAACTCTCCTAGAGAAAAGAAGGACATTTAAGATACTAATATTAACTGTGATGGCTTTAAATGAGCCAAGGCATTACTTAGATCAGTGAGGTTTGGTAGGATACAGAGATACTGAAAGAGGAAAATAAACAGAGTGATCACTACTATTAAAGTGATGGCAAGAGGGGACCAAAAAACCAAAAACAAACAAAAAACACAATACCTGTTATTAGTCCAACCAAAATTTTCACACAGGTCAAAGGGACATTTTATAGAGGGCTGCCATTTGCCCCAAATGAGCATTAGTCTGGGTTAGATTCTAACAAGGAACTTGGATTAGTGATTATTCACATTTCTTTCTCTGCACAAAACTATCCTTTTCTCTCTCTAGGAAAGCTATTGGTTAAGTGTATCCAGTGAACCATTACAAATGCAACGGCCAGCACTCAGGAATTCTCACAGGATTTACCTACTCCTAGCTGAAAGTCTGGAATTAGAATTTGGGTACATATTGTTTAAAAAACATATGTAACCAATGTGCTATGCTAATTAAGTTATTATGTAATTATATATACACATATGAAAATGCAGAGATGACATAATTTCTCTAAGTTCTTACATCATCCATAAGCCATAATACCATCTATGGACTCTTTAAGATTCAGACTCATGTAGAAAATCAGTCTGCTTTTCTCTGAGTCATACAGGAATCTAAAAGAAATGGTTCTTCTTGCCACAATTTGTCATATTGTGCTTTTCCTTAAACTGTTAAAAAATGAGAATTCCTGAGCTGGTGTTATTTTTAAAAATCCATTAAAAAAATAGCAGCACAGAAAGACTGTTTTCCAGAGACTGGAAACAGTTTGTCTCAAGGCAAAGCTTTGGAACAAAGCTGTGTATGAGGGAAGACTGTAACTGTGCTACAGAACATAGAAAAATAAAACTGAACTGGTAAATCCAATAACATGCTTTTAAGACAGAGAAATTTTGTTAAATAAAAGATTAGTAATTTCTTGGAAGCAGATTCTAACCCCAGCAGATAAGGAGTGTAACAATGTTGATTTCCACTACGGGGCAGCAGTGCCATAGAACACTGCAGTGATTTCCTCCACCCCTACTGGTCAGGGATGGGGGCAGCCTGGCATGCATGCTGTGGGCTGTTGGGAGTCCTTAACTTTTATGGCTAAAATTTACACAATTTTCATTTCCACTGTCACTCTGACAAAAAAGACTTATTTTTAAAAAGCAAAATATTTTGAACACTCCAGTAAAAAAATGAGATCTCCCCTGTGTCATCTGCTGTGTTTAGATTTAATTAACCTTACTCTATTTCATAAATTCATCCTACCTGAATAGCTCAACTTAACAATGCTGACCACACCTGTAAACTTTTCCTTCCTCCCCACTGACATGGCATCAGAGGTGATGCAGGGGGGCAGGGCAAAAGTCTCTATCTTTTCTGATAGTCAAAGGACCTTTGGAATAAAGAAGTCAGACCCATAGTCTCATAAGATGTGCTTCCATTCTGATAGCTGTCTTTCCTTTATAAAACAAAAAAAAAATTTTTTTTTTCAGTGCTGGAGTTTGAATCATGGTTTCATGCTTGCTAGGAATGTGCTCTACCACTTGAGCCATACCTCTAGCCTATGGACCACAATTTAAATGTAGAAAAAGTAATGTTTCATGAAAAAATGCAAATACTGAGTGACAAGAAATATTCTTGTTGAAAAAATTATCCAAATGTGGAAGACCCACTCTCTTTGACATTAACTCATGGTGTATGGCTTTATCAAGTATAAACATTTATGCACTGACAGCTACACGTTTTATTAGTCATTTCCATCCCATTTTTATTACTAAAAATTATTTTCCTCACAGCTGGGCACAGAGAAGAGTGTGATTTGCTACCTGCCCCCTTATTCACACCCAAAGAAAACAAATATGTTCAAAATGATTTGTGGCCATAGTCTTTAAGATAGGAGTTTACACTTTGGGAAGAGGTAGCATGCTATAAGCTTTCTCTTCCCCCTGGAATAACGAAGTTTAATGTGTAGCTATGTCTGAAAATGGTACCTAGTATGAGATATAGATGCAGAACCAAAAACATTTGGTCCAGGCACATGATGCACTCTAAAGTTCTCTTTAAAGACATTTAAATAACTGATGTTAAATGGGCTCGTATCTAACTTTCTCAGTTCTGAGACCCCATCAACTGCAATAAGACCAATTAATGATAAGACTACCATAGTAGACATAATATTAAGCTATATCCTGATTTCAGAAATACTAGAAAATGTACAAAAATGTCTCAGAATCAAAGAAATGGGAGTTTACAAACATTATCCTGAGTGTACTTGTTTAAAGCAGTCAAGTACACTTTACTCAATTTTAATGATATATTATGCACACTTAAAAACTTTAGAAGTTAATTTTAATTCAGAGATGCGTGTATTCTTGGTATTTTTCTTATTAATTCATATCACATGCAAATGCATACTGATATGCATTTAACCATCATTCATTCAGTCTCTTATTTGTGCTTCATAGGTACCAAAGAATTTCAGAGCTACATGGGGCCTCAAGAGCCAGGTTGTCCAATTCCTCACACAAAGTTCCAAGACCAGGACAATAACCCCCACCAGGGCCTCACCCATTCTGTTTTCTCACCCCAGCTGCAAGTGCCCACACCAACTTACGGACAGCTCAGCAGATGCCATGCCTGAGAAGTTCAGTTAGAAAATACTTTCTGACCTGAAACTGAATTCTCTTCTACTTGACCCAATGATCTTAAATTGCCTCGTACATGGGGTTACATGAGTTATAAATATTCTTCATAAATTCCTACCTCTTGGTTGGCTTTCCTTCCTATCATAATGGTGGGAAATATGAATTATCATGAAAAGTAATACATTCCTAGAACAACCTATAACATCGATGCAAATACAAAGTGTTTATATATATTAATCTGTATCATATATATACAAATATATTTGTGAATGTATCACTTATTTGCAACCACTTTTCACTTAATTTCCTCCTCGTTGGTGTGTATATGTTTTATACTCTCAATCACTCTCAACTTGTCCTTTGGCACAAATCTCTTCTGATATACAATGAATTCAAATTACAGAAAATAGGTCAACGCCTAAGTGTTTTAAAGATTTACTGTTGATATACCTGGGCAATGACCCAAACAACAAACTGGTTCTTTAAATCTGTTTTCAAATAACTGAGAGTGTTTGGCCACAGGAGGATTTACCATTTTCATGATTTTTCTATCAAAATTGAAGAGTTAAAATTAAGTCCCTGCTAGGGTTACATATGGTGTCTTTTCCCACATCCCACTCTCCGCGGGTGTTGGGGACGGCATAGGATGCTGCAGATGGTCAGACCTACAGAGAACTGATTCTCACAGGCCTCTGCTGCTCCCTGCTGGCCAAGCTGAGGTCTGACAACGCATAAAGAAATAGAGGAAATAGATAAAGCAGATGTACAGGGACTTTTCTTAATTTTATTCTTTTCAGGAATAAATTCCCTTTACAGTCTTGGGTATCTCTGGCAGACCTCTCACATATTGGGTCTACATTATATTGGTTGGCCCAACAGAAGGTATTGTATTTATTGTTAAATAAGATTTTTTGAAAGAGACATATATGGACACAAATTTCCGATAGAACTAGGTACAGATGTACACAAACAAGTGTGTGTGTGTACACACACACATATAGGCATGTTCACACATATACATGTGTATACATAATCCAATATACATTTCCTTCTCATGATTTTTGGTCAAGTTCCACGTGGAGCTTGAAAGGTGGCAGAAGAAAAGGCTGAAGCCACCAAACACTAACCAGAATTAGACATGGAAAGGAAGACTGAGTTCTAGGAGAAGATACGATAATTTAGGAGACATTAGAAACAACTCAGGCTGAGGAAGAATTGTAGAAACACATGTGAAGGCTGAAGGAGTCAGCAAAACACTATTTTCTGGCACGACAGGAGAAAATGTAACCAAAGACATGTGCCACTAGAAACTGATGGAAGCAAAAACGAGATGGAAGAGGAGGGAGGCAGGAAGACAGGATACTCTGTGGGTAGCAGGAAGAGAGAATGGAAACCAACCATGCCAACAATGTGGCTTTTGGCAGCAGTGTGCAGCCAGCTGTCTCTCCCCGTGATTCAAGCCACCACCACAAGGCCTATTTGCAGGAGGAGCGTCTGCATTTTGGAGCAGATTAAGGTTGGTCCTTTTATTGTTTGTTTTCAGTTTCCTAAACAATTATCTTAGGAGGTAGGGCCTCGGTCTGCTTATGATTTTTTTAAATGCTTCAAGTTTAAGCATTTATTTCAACTGATAGTGAATTAATCTGTGTTACAGAAAAGATCTGGGCAAAGGGAGTCCAGCATATCCCTGGCAACAGAACTCCTTTTGTAGGAAATGTTAGAAATAAAACTCCTGGTTTTGTTTGATTTGACCTTTATCTGCAGAACTAGGGAAAGTCCCCAACAGAGAGGAGATTCAATTATCAAGTACTGTAGCCTTAAATGTGTCACTGAATATACATTCTATAGCTACATGGAAAACTCAGAACTAGCATTTTATGACTATCAGTTCAGTGTGTGGCAGACTGACATAATACTGATTTAAATTAAGCACAGATATTTACAGAGAGGCTGTACCTGCTATGTTTAGCTTTGTTAGGATGAAAATGTGGGAAGCTGCTGTATTTGAATTCAACAGCAGTCCTACTTTAAACTATTACCAGTCCAAGGTGCTGGGAATAGTGTCTTTACTGCAGTAAGAAAAAGGTATGAGAATCGCAGTGATGAAGTCCTATGATTAGAAATGATGGAAAGACATTAATAATCATGTATTAAAGACAGTACTTGGAATGACAATGACTATTAACTAGATAAAACAACTAGCCATGTCACGCTTGGAGAAGAGACGGATTAATTCAGAGAATGCAACTAACAGAAATGAGGCTTATTATGGATGGTCATATTAATTTTTCATGTGCTAACGGCTGATATCTTTAAGGATTTCTGCTTTGAGAAACCCTGAAGTAGAAGAAATGCACAAATTTCTACAAACAGCACATCTGCCACATGCCCCCTGGTGATAGACAAAAGTAAATTAAAAATATGCTACCACGTATTGTCAGGATTCCTATTGTGAAGTTAGGAAAGCCCCAAAGTTAGGAAGGCAAGATGAACAAAAAGGTCTCGGTTTGCAAGTACAGCAGCTTTATAAGCAGACTTCAACCTGATTAAATCTTACCATTGTCTACAGAAATTCCAAGCACACTTGATATCTTTCTCACACTGAAAACACAGAAAAAGTCACTTTGTTATTGGAGGCTTTTCCACACCCTCACAAATTGATTCACGGGCTTTGTTGTCATAGCAGTGTAAGGATTAACACACACTCAGAGCCAGAATGTCAGAATGTGGACACGCTTGATCAATTACATGCACAGGATCTAGAGGGGCAAAAGCAACCTGTCCTAGGTGTTCTCTGGAGGTACAGGAGAAGTCACTGAGAAACTGGTTACTGTCAATGGATCCAAACACTGGAGAGTGTCTGGCCATCAAGGCGGCCGAGTTTGTTTGGGGACTTTTAGGATAGGTGCCGTAGTTGACCGTATTCCACATTATGTCACTCCCTAGTGCTCGGGAGCCTCCTCCAAGAAGGGGGCTGTGCCATGAGCTCTTCATCCTATTTGCTGTGAGCTGGAAGAAAAATCAAGTTGGTGATGTGAAATGGTGTGGCTGGGGCTCTTGCCTCTGAGACGGCTGGCGGTTACGATGGTATGTCATGGGACTTACTGTGGTTAAAAGTGATAGAGTTATCCAGGCTGCCCAGCTGCTGCAATCTGGCATGCATCATTCCTGTTCTGTTACGGGAAACAGGCAATGTCTGAGATTTTCGATCATGAACTATGGGTCCCAACCCCTCCTGGTTCCTGCAACATGAGTGAAATGGGATAGAAGCAAAAGTTAGATGTGTTACTCCGCAGCAAAACGGGAGCATTAGTGAAGCCATGACAAGGCACAGGGGAACAGGGCCACACACTGACCGAGCGCAGCCAAGCAGCCAGAGACACAAACAGGCGGCAGATCTTACAGGGTTCATGGCAAAGCACCTGACGATGAAGAAGCGAAAATCAAGCCAAAGCAGAGAGCTTCTTGGTTTTAGAAAGTACTCAGGAGATGTGGCTTTTAAAACAGTGAGCATCGCTCCAGTGTGGTGCCATGGGTCAGCGTTCTAACAACTCTCAAAACATCACCAACCTTTGTGGGTTGTATATGTTATGAAAGAACAAAAACTATTACTCTAATTTTTTAAAATGCACTGGCAGAAACAGTAAACAAACATGCCATGGGAGGGTTACATGAGGCAGTTTTAACACCATGATTCTTACCCAAGCAGGAAGGAGAAGAGCCACACACTTTGTTAAACTTGTCAGCAGTCAAGTAGAGAAAACAGAAGAGTGATCTGGGTTAGCAATCAAACAGCTGACTTCCTACTGTGTACCATCACCAGAGCAGATGGAAAATGAGACCAGTGCTGGAATGACACCTGTTCCCCGTTCTGGAGCCAACTGTGCCCCTCACTGTGTTACCGTGTGTAGGAGAACAGTGACATGCATGGACTATCATTGACAGCATGCTGCTGGGTGATTTCCAAGTGAAAGGAGAAGGCACAGTATTTGTACAACTGGACCATGGGAATGGCAAACACTGACAACGTTCACATCACGGTTCATGATCTCTGTCACATGCAGCAGAAACCATGGTGATTTTTCTTTTTTTGATAAAGCAGGACATATCTTTCCATACAGCATGGAATAAAGTAACACCATCTCCACTCCCATCTTCCTCTGCCCATCTATTTTTAAAGCAGCCCATATTATATGCAAATATATACAGGGGATGATAAAGTTAGAAGATTTTTTTTAAAGTTAAATTTATATCCACTGAAAAAAATTAACCACTTCACAAAACCCAATTCTAAAATATTTTTTCAGGACAACAATCTTCAGCTTCCCACATTCACCATTTTAAGCTCTGAGGCATTTTAATTCTGTTTGGTACAACTTTCTCCAGATGTCATCTTGAGATGTAAGTGATGGTAACTGCAAAGAGGGTGTGAAGCTCACCCAGCACAGTGCTTTTCTGTTACAAAATATACTACTTGCCCATCTTCATGGGACAAAGTCATAAAGAATGAAAGTCAAGGTATGAGATATTACTTATACAAAGGCTCCTTGTATATACTTGCATTTAATATTCAAAACCAAAAATTACTGTTGTGACAAAAATAAAAGTTAAGATTAAGGAACTTTAAACTACCACATTTAAATTAAAAATAGAAAATATTAACAGGAGGAAAGGACAAAATAATCTCTCTAAATTTGCTCCTGTTTAAGAGAACACAAACTTATATTTTTTAACATAAAATACAATTCTGAAAATTTCTCTACGCGTCCCCAAAAGAGGACAATGTTAACATACAAGGCAAATCTTCACATTCAAATAGAAAGTTTGTTAATTTCTGCCCGATTTCATTACTATAAAACAGAATTATAGGTAAGAGGAATCTCAATTACAACTGAACTTGCAAGATTTTCTTAAAATTAAATTGTTGAAACCAATCAAAAAATATGACACTTAGCCCGGAAACCCCCTTATATACACTGACAGAACAGATCACAACACAGACATATTCAGTGGCTACAAGGCATGAGTAAGTATGGGTGACAGGACTTGTGTGAGAAAATGCCCCCAGAGAGGATGCTATCTGGTCACACAGCAGGAAGGAGCTCCTAGATCTCCTGGAACCTGGAAAAGTATGGTCCAGGACAGGGCAGTGGGAGTTATGACATTCAACAAAGACTTATAGCTAGACAAGAACACAGGGCACTTATTAATTAGTCAGAGTAACAGAAGAAAAACCTCCATTTTAGAAATTTGTGGAAATCCATGAATGGGCTAAAAACAAAAAATGAGAGTGGTAAGAAGAGAAATCAGTATCTTTGTAGTTTGGGAGTAGGAAAAGTGAAAGTGACCTTTGAAGATGAAACAGGAAGTGAAATCACTAAGGAAAAATACATAGATGAAAAGGAATGAGGAGAAAAGAAAGAGGAGACAGACACAGTGTTGGCGAGAATTTGGAAGGAGACACAGTCCACTAAACACAGTCTTTCCAAGAGAGGTGCACATGACAAAATGAGACAGAAGGAATGCAGTAAAGCTGACAAAAAGACATGACCAGATTCTATGGTGGCAATTCAAGGCCTGCCAACCATCTTCATGGCTGCTTACATGAATCCCACCTGCCAATCACTGCAGACCATTATTCCTACACATTGGGATCCAAGCAACACAGAAAATGATACGACATTTCAAACTAGGACACCCAACAGTACCTGGCTATATATCGCTTCCCCATGTACTGGAACTGGTGCAAGCAGACTCTGTAGACAGGATGAAAAATTATTGGAGAATGTGATGATAAAATTATTTTCCCTACAGTTTTATTTAAGCCCATTAACAATAATGAATTTGTAAACGTGTCTATTACTAGCCTCTTACTTCTGGCTTTCAGGAGTTCTCTGGAAGGTCCCTCTAGGTCCAGAGAACATGATTAACTTATAAGGAAGCCCCATACCGTGTGGCTGTCAACACTGTGGTAGCTGGCAGAGTACCGAAGAACAGAATGACGGGTCAGGGCTGGCAGATTTACTCCAAAGCAGCTTGCCTGAGAATGTGTTGGAGACCAGACACTGTTCTGATTTGTTTATTCATCCTCATTCAAGCCTACATAAGGAACTCTCTCTTGATTCAAATGTATAGATTAGTCCTTTACAGACATCAAGTGTGCAGATTTTTAATTTTAATATATCCACAATACTGATTATTTTTTTAAAACTTGTGCAATTAATAAGAGGTAGTTAAAACAATGAATTCTCTGGTGCCGAATCTCGGTTCACCACATGACAACCCCCTGTTTAAGTCAACAGAGTGTGCAGCCACGAAACCATGAACAGGGCTCCTGCTGGACACCAGGCCTCAGCCTTTCACTTAACAGCCCTGAGACGTACAAAGCTCTGAAACCAGGTTTCCTCTCAAATTTATGCAAAGATATTTCGCACCAAACCACGACCCAAGCCAATAGACATGAAGCTATTTAGAGTTATGATTTACCCAAATACTGCCAACAATAATGGAAGTGCGGAGTTTCTTTTTAATTGCAGACATAACAACGTGTTTGGTTGTGGATGTTGACTGAGATGCTGTGGGATATTGTGACATAAACTCTGTATCTGAAATTTACCTCTAACTTACAAATACTTTCTAAAAATAAAGAGCTTAAAAGAAATCAGAAACTTACACTGAAGAGATAAAATGAGATAATACAGGTACCCTACTCACTTGAGAGAAGCAGTATCTACCCAATTCAGTGAAGAAAATTTTGTATTACTTTATTACAATGGCTTATACACATAAGTATCTCACCTATAACAATTGCATCTCTGCAATAACTTAAGGGTGGTCACTGTTCACTGGCTCAAAAGCCCCCAAACTAGGTGCTGGAGTCAGGTGCAGGATAGAGAGATTAAGGAGTGACAGGGGATATGACATACACTATTTCCTGGCTCAAGTACATAGTGCTCATCACATCTCTTAATTATCTGGGAAGAACTAAGAGGTAATGATTAAAGACAGAACTACTCACTCAGATAGTGTAAAAAAATCCATAAGTTCAGATGTTGAAGCCTTGTTCCAATATGTAAACAAAGCATCTAGAAAACAAACATTTATTTGGTTAGAATCACAATACATAATCAGGTACATTATGGAGAATGACCTACTACAACAATGGGAATAGACTCCAGAATATAGTCCTCCAACACTGCCCCATTTTATAATTGATCAAAGGGCAAAGCATAGTGACCTGGATAACATGCACAGAGTTTTTCAAGAAGCTGCATTTGAGCACGTGAACTTTAATTTCATCACATATTATCTAGTGCTATATTATGGGACAAGGTTTATTTAGCTTATACATAATAAGCTCTTTTTAAAATTTCTTTTATTCATATGTACATACAATGTTTGGGTCATTTCTCCCCTCTTCCTTTCCCCCGCCCCCTCCCTCTCCTCCTCACCCCCTCGCTATCAGGCAGAAACTATTTTGCCTTTATCTCTAATTTTGTTGAAGAGAGAGTATAAGCAATAATAGGAAGGACCAAGGGTTTTTGCTAGTTGAGATAAGGATAGCTATACAGGGAGTTTACTCGCATTGCTTTCCTGTACAATATGCTCTTAAGTAGACTAGAAAATTCTAAGAATACAAGTGGGCATACAAAGTTGGGCTCTCACATTTCATACTATAGAATTCCCTTCGCAGGGAATTTGTTGATAATTTCTGTATACTACACACGCTGTTTTGTCTATGAGTTTTAATTGAACAATACAGCTTGGATCTATCTCAAAGTTTTCCAACCTGCATAATATTTTTCTCTATGGATGTATCATGATTGGGTTCACCAATCCCCTACTGAGAGAGACATTTATTGCTTTTTTCCTAACCTTTTTCAATTATAATTATTATTATTATTATTATTATTTTTTGCTTTTCATGACTTTATTCATCAGTTTGGACCACCTGAGGTCATGTGGCTCAAGTCTTCTCATTGTGGAGAGTTGAATCTCTAACTTCTTGGATTATTGCAATAAGGAGGAAACACCACATAAGGCAATGCCGAAAAGCCTAAATCATTATGCTTTTTTCTTTTTTCTTGTTAAAATAGCTTTTTTTTTTTATTATTCATATGTGCATACAAGGCTTGGTTCATTTCTCTCCCCTGCCCCACCCCCCCCTTACCACCCCCTCCCTCTCCCCCCACCAAATACCCAGCAGAAACTATTTTGCCCTTATTTCTAATTTTGTTGTAGAGAGAGTATAAGCAATAATAGGAAGGAACAAGGGTTTTTGCTGGTTGAGATAAGGATAGCTATACAGGGCATTGACTCACATTGATTTCCTGTGTGTGGGTGTTACCTTCTAGGTTAATTCTTCTTGAACTAACCTTTTCTCTAGTACCTGTTCCCCTTTTCCTATTGGCCTCAGTTGCTTTTAAGGTATCTGCTTTAGTTTCTCTGCGTTGAGGGCAACAAATGCTAGCTAACTTTTTTTTTTCACTTGTAGTTTCCAACTACATCTCTAGGACAAATTCTTATAAGTGAGGTAAGATCAAATTGTATGTACATTTAAATCTCTGTTATGAACCTTCATCTATTTGGTATTGCACAGAATGCTATCATTTGATGAAAACATTTTTGTTCTTATATTTTACATTGAGTTTGAAAAAGCGGTGAAGAGATTACTCTTGAGAAAAAGTGTTGTGTTTAGAGCCTGAGATGAATAGAGAGGGTGGCTGCAGAGAGGCTTTCACTCCACACTTGTCAGGACCAGTGGCAGGGAAGACATGGGATATACAGCAGGAATCTGTTCTGTGCCAGGCACCATGGGGGGATGCTCTCTGAGTCCCCACTGCATACAGAAGAGAGTTCCCATTTACAGATGCACCCACAGAGGCTCAGAGAACTTAAGCAGTTCTCCCATTTATCTGCCTAATGAATCATAGGAAAAATAGAAATCAGGGTGTATTGGGGAGCTTCTTTGGGTTGGGGGGAGTGAGTGGTTTGAGCTCAGAATCCAGATGAATAAACTCATTTCATGAGGCTGGTCCTCCTGGTAGGGTGAGCCTTGGAGGAGCAATATGAATGCCACAGACTTACCATGCAGGCATTCATGTTACCCCCAGCACACCCTCGACACCACAGCTAGGGTGCAGCACTGTCACTGCTGCTCCTTGCTCTGGACTCTGGCTACTGGCTAAGCCCTACAGCTCTATACGGATGGAGGAGGCACAAGGGAGGAGACACAGAAAGTCATGGGATCAGCATGGAAGTATTCCTTAAATACAGAATAAGTAAAAAAGAAAGAATAGCTACACAGCAACACAACTGATGCTGGTTGTCCGGTAAACTCCCTCTGGGAAATTTCCCCCCCTTTCCTATACCACACACAAAAATCAATATGAGGTAAATTTTTAGATCTAAATATGAAAATTTAAATACAGACTTCAAAGAAAGTAAGGGGATAGAAGATGTCTAAAATGGCACATGCATATACAGGTTCTAATAATAAAGGGAAAAACTGATAACTTGAAGGCAATTGGGGAATAAAAATGTATTCTAAAATTGTTTTCAAGAGGAAGTTGTGTTTGAAAATACATTTATGACCTGCTGTAGGGTTGAATTTGAAAGAAAAGTTCCACTTGGACGCAAAAACTCTGGCATATTTGCCTTCAAAAGCAGTTATATTCTAACTATATAACAAATTCAATATTTATAATTTGAAAAATTTGAAAAGTGCTTTAAGCCAAGGAATAAAGGACTATAATGTTAGCTAAAAGTCACTACCATGAAGCAAAATTTAGAACTTCTGACTCAAATGAGATGAATTTCAACTTTATAACCCAAATATCAGAATAAATACGTTGCATTTTTGTATTTGATCATTATTCAAGGAAAATCTTGCATGTCTCTCTTTTTTGCAATTTTAAGTAACATCTAACAGAAGAATAAACTTGAGGACACGAAGGTCATTCCAAGCATCTGTGTTATGAAGCTGGCAGTTAACGCTGGTGTGATGGAAGCTCCATATTTTAAAAAGCCCACTGTTGGGAGGAGAAGGAGGGGGGGGCAGGGGAGAGAAATGGCCCAAACAATATATGCACATATGAATAAATGAATAAAGAAAAAAAAAAGCCCACTGTCACAGGCAGGACGCTTAGTGACCACAATTACAGCCAGCAGATAAGGTATAAGTGGCCTCTCCGGTTCTCGAAAGATGGCATTTTGTTTTCAGAAGAGTTCGTCTTAGCTCAATGACCTTAAGGAAGCTCATTATGTACTTTTAAATTGTCACAGGAAAAGTAAGGCCACGTTTTTGATCAAGATAAGAATTATGATGTACTAAGACATAACTTCATGGCTATAAATCCTGTCACTAGAATGAAACTATCCTGTCATACATGCTTATAAACTTTATGTGGTACAGAGAAAGCATTAATAGTTCTGCTCATTTGCGTTAAAAGGTTCTTGTCACACTTAATCAGAAACAGTCTACTAGGACATCACCATTTCCATTAGAAAAATAAAATAATACCTCCCCCTGCAGGTGAGATCAGGAATACCATACACACATTAATTTCTAGATTGAAGAAACACTTCGGTTCCTGGACAACATGTTTTCTAATTCAAGAGATTAATATAGTTACACAAGTTGCCAGTAAGTTTGTTTGAACAAAAACAAAAATCTATTTCATTTATCTGTTTCTGTTAATATAGTAGGTACAGTTTCAACATATATTAAAAAAAAAGTCCCATTAACAGTTTAGAATTCATTTTCTAGAATAAAATAATTAACAAAAGTATTTTTCACAAAAAAGAAAAAAATTCTTTCAAAGTCTTATAAAATTTTTCAACTAATACAATTTAAAAAATAAAATTCTGAAACAAGGAAAGCAAAGCAAGCGTATTTTTTACTTACCGTCGGACATACTTTTCAAAATGTACAGGAAACACATTAGTAGGCTCTTTATCTCAGACTGGTCAAGTTTGTCACAGCGAACCACAGAATTTCCCAAAGCACTACTTTGTTGATGCTTAAAAGAAAATACAGATAATTTTTTTACTTGATCATAGAGAGAAAAATTCAATTTGCTTGTTTCCCTTGGAAGACAAAGGTTCATAGTTGAGTGGAATCATACAAACTGGAAAGTATGAGTGAGCTATAATACGGCACCATTAAATGGAGCACATGACCACCACAGGCCTCCCGAGAGCTGTCTCCTTTGTACACTGTCCTAGGGCACAGGCTTTTCCCACTGAACAGCCACAGTTTTAGTTATGCCAAGTGAAACTCATGCAGAAAAGCATGTGTGCTGGGATCAAACATGGAAGGGAAGACTCAGGAGATACCTCAGAGCTGCCTATCCCCTCAGGGGACCAGCAAATTGCTATGACAGCAGGAAAGCCTGAGGTGCTGCTCTACCTAACACAAAAGCTTGGAGCCAAAGTGTTATTCAGGGGACACGCATGGCATGTCACGGGCACTGCTGGAGGAAAACACCTGGCAGGTGCCCAACAGGACAAACAGGAACACCTCAGCACAGCACTGCCAAAGACCCTAAACTGATGAGGTCACCCCATCATCAGCTTAGCTCAACACTGCAAATGTCAGAAAGTTTGTGGGGGGAAGGGGGAGGGGCTGTTTTACCACTAAGCAGCAGGTTCACATGAAACAAAACAAAAACAGAATAAGACTCTCATCTTGTAATTAAAAACAGAGGAGATTAAAAAAACCTCCAAGTTATATTTCCAACTGAAATCAGGAACATTTTTTTGTCAAATGCCAAAGCAAAAATGTCAGTGAAAAAAGTTTCATTTAAAGTGTCGATGGCCAACTGAAAACTATATATAATAAGCAGGCTTAATCAATGAGCTATGTGAACATTTTTATTCAAGGAAGAAATGCAGGTACAGGTGCTTAGTGGCAAAACTGGCTGGGCTGTAGCATCTTGCCCGCCTGCTGAGTAAGAGCCCCGAGAACTCAGTACTTCTGGCAGATGGAGGGAGGGTGTAACATGCAACGTTTCCTCTGGCAAAGGTGGAATTGTTAGCAGGGAAAAATCCATCGTGACCCGGTGTTTCCTGGCTGACTGGCAGCTCTCCTCCTCCTCTCCAGAACTGCGCACGACACAAGCGGAGTGCCTTCTGAGCAGCTTTTCCCTCTACACACGAAGGCATGTTGAGTCAAGGGAAAAGTTCAACACATCATGACATGCACTCACACTGAAATGTCTGACCCTCAATGACCCTCGACACAACTGTGTCTACAGATAGTCATGTCAGTGCCAGCAAGATAACCAGCCTGAGCTGAGAAAGGATGTTTTCCTGTAATTTGAAATAACTTACGGGGACAGTGCCCAAGGCGATACCAATCTACCATGGTCAGGGTTTAACTCTGAGCCTTATCCTTTCCCACAAATTCTAAACAGTGTGAGCCTTCAGTAATTTTAAGAAGGTAAAGTATGAGGAAAGAAGTGTTGATTGGATGTGGGGCACAGTGTGAGTAGAGTGATTTCAAATCAGGTCAATGCTTGAATCACAGAAATGATCAATTAAAATTTTCTGGAGCTGGCTTTGGACCTACTAGGCATTGACATGGACAGCCAGGTTGTAAATGATATTCCCCAGCATAAACACTGTCCAACCTTCCAGAATCATTTGCTCAAAGTGCTCCATTATAAATGCTACCTTGACCAGAGATCCTAGAAAGGAATCAGAGACTTTCGAGGGGCTGGGGATATTCCTGCATAGTACAGGGCTTTTTTAGTGTGCACAAAGCCCTGGGTTCGATCCTCAGCACTGCAGGGGGAAAAGAGAGACAGACAGGGAGACAGCAAGAGGCTTTCAGGGAATGGACCCCAACCTTAGATAAAGTTCTTATTATCTACCCCAGGCTAATTGAATTGTTTTTAAAAAAACAAAAGGACAAGCTGTGAGTGGTGGTGCATGCCAGCAATCCTAGCACTTGGGGCAGAAGCAGGAGGACTGGGAGTTTGAGGCTGGGCCTATGTAGTGAGACTATCTCAAAAAACAAGACAAATCAACAAACAAGCAAAAAAAGGTTATATTTAACAGACACTAGAACATGAAGTATGTTCTTTGTACTAAATCCATTAGTTATACTAAACACATGTGTTACATGACAAGAAATTACCTTGTCCAAGGAATTGCTCTTCTCACTATTCCTTTCTGGAAGGCTATTGCCCGAATCTGTGCTTATGAGAGACCCTCTGGAGTCAGCATTTCTCACACTGTTGATGTTTGGTGTTGAAGTGGTATATGGAGAAGCTAAATGGAAATAAAGGCAAGACCAAACAGAACCAAATAAAGGTAAGTGCTAAATTTTAAAGGAAATTGCATTTTATGACACTTATCTTTTTAGTTAGGAAGTTGGCTCAAAAGTAGTATTTAATTGTCACCTTTAAAGAACCAGGTCATATAAAACAAGATAAAAATAATCTGTAACATTCAGAATAAATGTCAATTCACTTATTAGAAACCACTTTTGATTGCTCATAGTACCTGAGAATACATTATTTAACCAGGGGATAGAATGCAGACAAAAAAAACTATTCAATCAAAAAATTAAGACATATAAAAAAATCCAGAATATGAACTGTATGCTAACACATTTCAGCAAACTCTGCAGATGTAATAGGACATTTTGAGTTTTCAAGGAAAACAGTGATACTTGATGCTGGCTGGTAAAACTACAGTTTCAAAGTGGATCATGCTATATTCTTTTCGATATATCACATCTTTGTGCAGCGGGATATTTGGTGGCTGCTATGATAAAAAAGCAAGCACTGGAACAGGAAGTGAGGAATAGAGGTAGACAATTTGATTCCAAAGTATAAGACCCTGGGGTATCAGGCACGCATAACCCATCAGTGACACTTGTGTTTATTAAAAATGAAAATGGTATTTTTCTTTAAATTTATGTGTATTATTTTTTGACATGCCTACTAAGTTGTTAGGACATTAAGTATTTAGTAACTTACTTGGTTTTAAGTACTGAATAAACAGAACTGACAATAGATAAGTAAGTTTTAATGAACAGAACTCTTGGTTTTAATTTGAGGACACCATGAAAAAAATTATTGTGAAATAAGGTTCATTCTTGCTCTGTGTGAACTGAAAATATTTGGGAATCTCTGCTATGAACAATCACTAGTAGAAAGGAAATCCAACTTGGGAATAAAACTTGTGATGTCTGTGAATAAACAGCATTTGAAGGGAGAAACCAGCCTCTACATTGGCACATGGGATTTTAGGGCAGTAGTAGACTTGTTGCTTAGACAAGATTTAAACAGGTTACATAATTAAAAATGGCTCTTTGGACTTGTGTGTTCTGTGCTGAACCAACATCCAACAGCGCAAAGTCCTGCCTCGTTTTGCAAATGGTATGAGGAGACTTTTGTCACTGTGCTCGGCAGCTTTAAGCACAGCCTCCCAGATTCGAGCCAAAAATGCCATTACTGGTATCTCACAACAAGCCAGTCATTTTCAGATTCCAATATGCAAATTAGCTGGCATGCACTGAGATACTTGTACATCAAAAATAAATAAATAAATAACAATCAATATAGCCCATCCCTGAACTGCACCAAAAATATTTTTGTAAGTCACTCAGTTTTCCCACTTTTGAATTTCATGGCTAATGGCATAAATTCATCATTTCTCAGGCAGTATCAAGATGGCCTTTAATTTTAGAAAGAAGACCTGTGGTAAAGGTTGAAAATCCTTTTCCTTCCCAAACACTTACTGTAAGCCATAGACTGCACGTTGTCACAGAAACAGGTGAAAACCCTATGCAAAAACTACAACCCTTTTTCTACAGAGAGAAAAGAAACACGTACTATGACCAAATTATAATTATAATTCTCCTAACATAATTGTACTTCATGGTTAAGATGGAGCACAGAACTCAGGAGAAAGAGCTCCTCAATAAAGTAAACTTAGACCCTAAATCCTAAGATTCTTAACTGTCCAAAGGGACAGTCCTAATTTAATGGGACAGATTTTTAGATGCAAACGCAATAAGTCAAAATCAACACACCTGGGGGGAGGTGTGTGTGTGCATGCGTGTGTGCAAGTATGCATGCGGTTTGTATGGGTGTGTGTGGTGTATGCGTGCACGTGTGTGCACGTGTGGGTGTGTACGTGTGTGTGCAGGTGTGTGTGCGTGGGTGTGTTTGTCTATTTTTAATGTTCTGGCCCAGGAATTAAAGACCTCAGACAACATATGGGTAAAATGAGAACTTTAGTTTATTCCTCTCCTCTTTGTATCAATAGCCCAATGTACTGAGTAGGTAGAAAAAGGAACCCTAGGCCTGAGAAGGCTTGCATTTTAAAATGAATGAACCTCAGAGCAGTTGTTGCCCAGGCAATGAATCAGTTTTAGAAATTTTCACGCATTATGCTCCAAAGGCATTTAAGCAATTGGTGAGGGCATATTCTCAATGTGTGTGGAAATAGGATTTCTTCTAGACAGAGACACAGGGAGAAAGCCTGCTCCTGAGGGATAAGCACCAGAAGCAAAGTCAACTGGAGACTCCCTGACAAATCGAAGAAGAGTTGCTTCAGCTGCGAGAAAAAGCACATTCAGTTCAAAGGTGGGCTTCTGTGGAAGGCACTCCGAAAAAGGAACAAGGACTGATGCATTCAAGATGGGAGGAAATAGGCTGAGCATGCCTGAGGCCCCAGGTTCAATTCCCAACACTGCCAGAAAGAAAGACTAAAAAGGGTGGCTGTCAGAGAAGCTCAAGTGGTAGAGTGCCTGCCTACCAAGTGTGAGGCCCAAAAAAACTGTACTGCCAAAAAAACAAAAACAAAACCAAAAAACAAAACAAAACAAAAAAACCTTTAAAAAGATGGGAGGAAACACAGATAAATTCTGAGTATATATAGCCTGTTGTGTCCAATTCCTACCAAGTAGATTTGGATCTTGAATCAGTCTCAAGCCCTTTTTCATAATTATACCATGAATGCAGAACAACTGAAGTCCATCTCTGCCATTTGGGTCATGCTAAGAATACCCAATGGCTCACCTCCAAGTTTCCAAGGAATCCCAAATCCTAACAAGGTAAACTCAGAACTGGAGAGAGTCGAATGAATCCAAACACCTCATTATGATTTGATCATTTCCACAAAGTTATGAATGCCTCTCTTGCGATCCTGTAAGAGTACTGGTCACAGAGGACACAGTATTAACATTTTCAACACACCACTATGCTTAAGGATTCACCTTTATTTGGCTTCTGAGAGTGTATTACGAAACATGACAGTCAAATAATAATGCTTAGTGTTGACCATGTCAAGCACTGTACTCATTGCATTAACTCTATTTCTGACGATTCTGTTTTGGAGGGTGCAGGACAGACACCTTGCCCATGGCAACTAGTCAGTGCAGAAGTCGACATGTCTGACGTAAGCTAGTGGTGTGAACTGCTACAGACAAAATGCTCTGAAGAAGGTCACCTCCCTGTTCCCAGAGCAGCGGCTTGGCGTGTGGGCCGAGCAGGACAGAGACAAAGTGAAGGCCCCGGAAAAGAAGCAAATGAAAACTTGCAACAGTAACCAACATTTGCTGAGTGTTTACTGTGTGCCAGGCTCTTCTGCCAGCAATTTGAATGAATTATTTTTTCATCTAAGTGAGGAAAGTATAAGTATGAAAATATACATAAATATAAATAAAATTAGAAATTGGGATTAGTAGGGTAGGATGAATTTAAGGTATTGGTATGGGCTTTCCATTTTTTTATTCTATCCCATTTTATTACCTAAAATGTCAATATTAATAGTGATACAGAAGGTAAGAACATATATTCAGAATGAACAAGAGTCCTGTGAATAATGTAAGAGACGTACATTTTTCTGCCCCGTGAATCTGTACCCATTTGTATTAATGATCAGTTTAACCAACAGCCACACTAAGATGCTTCATTTATTCAAAGTGTGGTAAGGAAAGGGAAAATAAAGAGAGATGATGACTGTAAATACCTATGACAATTCTTTCATATATATATATATATATATATATATATAAAATCTTCATGAAGTTGTGATGCAGTCAGAATATAAATAGGTACAATTTCTCTGGCTTTTTTTTAATGGAGAAACTAAACTATTTGACTCTTGATATATGTCATCTACTTTCTTCCTCATGGAAGTTGTTCTTCTATTATTTCATATAGAAAAAGAAGATTTTGGAAAACTGATTTTTAGGATTGAATCCTAAATCCTAAACTGCTACCTCCTTCAGAACTATGAGGACTATAACATTTCTTCTAAATTGCCAACACTACAAGTACATCCTCCCTCCACCCCAACACCTGCAAAGATATTTCTTTCTAAAAGCACAAACAACCCAATTAAAATTTAAAATGGCAAATCAACTTCAATGATTAAATGTAGTATGTTCAATATTCACAAGAATTTTAGAATCTTCATTATATGACTGAAGGATTTCAGTCATGAAATACCACCCAGGAAAAGAATATTCAAGGCACAAATAGTCTTTCAAGTCCTAATTCACAAGGGTGACACATTTATGAACTATAAGATTAAAGATTAAGGACACTGGAGGGAGGCTGATAAGAGCGCTGACATTACCAATGCCAGAGATGGCTCCTAAGAGGTCTTTGTGCAGGCTGTGGTCCAGAGTGTTTCCCTTCTGTGGCGTCACAAGTTGGTTCCCAGCTGACAAGGCAAGGGGTTCATCCTTCATAATCTGTTGAAGGCAGAGAGAAGAAACAATCAAATATGATCAAACAAGGCTCATCAACTGTCTATGAAATACAAGGGAAGTACTGCAGAAATGAGACAGAACAACCTGACACATACACTGGTCCTTAGTGGGAGAAGCATGCTCACATGGAGGCATTATTGATTGTATCGGTGGGAGCACATGTACACCTATACAATAGGTGTGGGGTGCACGTAGGACAGAAAAAGTTTACACTCTTTGGAACAACAAGAAAAATCTAGCAGGACTCCAGTGGCTCATGCCTGTAATAACAGCTGCACAGAAGGCAGAGATCAGGAGGACTGAGGTTCAAAGCCAGCCAGGCAAATGAGTTTGTTGGACCCTATCTCGAAAAAGCTCATCACAAAAAAAGGGCTGGTAGAGTGGGTCAAGGTGTAGACTCTGAGTTTAAGCTCCAGTACCAGAGGAAAAAAAAAGAAAGAAAAATATAAACATGGATGATCTTAGTATAAAATTATTTAGGAAACATATGTGGGGGGTAAAGAGATACAATGAATTACTGTTAGAAAAAGAGCCTAAAATGTGCTTGGAAACTCCCCAGTGCAAGCTGGTATGACAAAGTGTCAAGATTAATGATGCAGTCAGTTCACAGGGAAAGGGAGCTGACAATCTCTTTAAATTATTAGCAGATAAGCCCTCTGTGGCCAAGAAAGAGCTTTAGGAAAAGAAAGAATACAAGTTTCAGTTTGTAAAACTTTAATAAACTTAAATAATTAGGAATTATTATGGCTTAATAATGAAAAAAATCTTTTGCAACTGAAATGTGATAAGAAATATGACAATGCTAATGCTTTGAAAAGGGTAAATTGCAAGATGATTTCAGGAATTTTTTTTTAAAATAAGATGACAAAACTAGATGTACTGAACACTGCGTAAAAACTAATCTCAACTAAAATGTTTAATTTCTGAAGTCACCCTTCAGTCAACTCTTTAAGTGACTACACAAAGATAATATAAATAAAGGTCATCAGTTCTTGGCAGAGGGGGCCTCATGTCACCTCTCCCCAGACATACAGTCTAATGAGGAACTGGAGCTCAGAAATGTCTTTTCTAAGACTGTGCATTGTGGTACTATTAGAACTGGGGCCAGTATGGGCTCTAAGGGACACAGGTTAGGACCGTGCCCTTTTTTGCTTCCGTACACCACATACATTTTTGTTGAGTACATGGAATTGGGTCACTTAGGAGAGTAAGAGTTGAAGGTTTACTAAGTAACCTGATCTTAGCCAAAAATGTAATTTACAAAGAGTACATTGGATTATTATGGTGTTATTGGCAAAATTAAGGGAGGTTATATACTGGATTGGATAGTGGTTCCTCTGCCCCTGCTCAATTCATGTCCACTTGGAACCTCAGATTTATTCTTATTTGGAAATGTCATTTTTCCAGATATAACGAAGCTGTAAGTTGAGAGGAGGTCATTTTTGGTAGGTTCTAAATCCAACCACTGGTGTCCTTATAAGGAAAAGAAGAGAGCATACAAAGAAACAGACAAACACCAGGAAGAACACCATGTCAAGAGAAAGGCAGAGGTTGGAATGATGCAGCCAGAAGCCAAAAGAGAGCAGGAAGGACAGCCAGCAACCACCAGAAGCTAGGAGAAGCAAGGGACAATTCTTTCCCTAGAGCATCTGACGGCACCTTGATTTTGGACTCTTGACTGTGAGAGAGAAAACTTCTGCTGTTCTAAGACACCCAGTTTGTGATAAGCTGTTACAGCGTCCTAAAATACAGTTCAGGCTGTGTTCATGTTAACTCTGCTTACGTACACTGCCCAGGTTCACAGGGAAGGGTGACACATCTCTCACATTGATCCGCTGAACATTTTCAATAAGCAGGCCAAACAGTGGCAGGTACAGAGTGGCTATCCTTGCCTGATGACTCTGAAACAAAAACATGCATGGTGAGTTTCTCCTACAGCTCTGGAACTTGTTTTCTGGATATTTCCTATACAGACAGATATTTGATTCTATTCCCAAAACAGAGGAAAGTCTTTTCTGACTGGTTACTTTCTTTGTGCCATCAAAGAAACCTTCATCAAAACATGCTTCCTCCCCTTGGGGATCACTCACCCTTGAGGCATATCTGTCATCAAAAGAATGCTTCATCAGCAGGTTCTTGAGCACACCGATGGCAATCACACGGACCTCCCGGAACTCCTGGAGGGCAGTGCCTACCTCTCTCAGTAACAGTCCCACCAAGAAGTGATTCCTGCAGAACTCATCTGTTAACGAGTAATCAAGCTGGAGATCTGAAACGAGGACAGAACTACTTCAGTTGGAGAGGATCCAGTGCTTTCTGAATAGCAAACTTAGCCCACCTTGGCATTCAGCCCACCCTGTCTGTTAACACAGGATTAGACTTGGCTTCAAATAGAAAAGGATTGATTCTAAAATGCTGCTCTATTTAACATATCAGACTCTTATATGAAAACCAAACTTAAATACAAGTAATTGCACTGGATTTTCATTTTGAAATAGCATCCCATATAATTAAATGAGTGAATAGACTTCAGACCAATTTTTAGAATATAGACCAGCATATCTTATATTACAAATGTAATTTTGTTATTGACAAAGTTTAAAAATAAAGCTATTGTACTAATTAACCAAACTATAGAAGAATAATTTGTGCATAACATGTAATTAAAGAAAGAATAAGGGCTGGGCATAGTGGTACATGCCTGTAATCCCAGCTACTCAAGAGACAGGAGGATCACAGTTAGAGGCATGCAGGGGTAAAGCTAGCAAGATCCTTTCTCAAAAACAAGCTGGGCACCAGGTGCAGTGGCTCAAGCCTGTAACCCTAACTACTTAGGAGGGAGAGATCAGAGGGACTGCAATATGAGCCAGTAGGGGTAAAAAAGTTAGACACCCCCATCTCAACCAAGAGCTGGGTGTGGTGGCATACACCTGTGATCCCAGCTATGGCAGAAAGCATAAATAAGAGGATCACAGTCAGGACAGCCTGGGCATAAAGCAAGATCCAATGTCAAAAGTAACCAATGCAAAAGGGCTATGAGTGTATCTGAAGTGGTAGAGCACCTGCCTAGAAAGCACAACCCCCAGATCACCAAAAAAAAAAAAAGAAAGAAAAAAATATACATGCTTTATTAAAATGCCATTTTCTTCCTGAGTTCAGTAACCCATTTCCTGGTCATCAATTCCTATATAGCCCCAATAAAACCCACTGTGTTTCAAATTAACAAATTAGAATATAACCTATTTATTCTGCTGTAACTGAATGAAGAACTTATTTACGTCAGTATTTTCTAAAATATTCTAATACTTCTGCATGTGTAAAAGCAAATAAAAATAAACATAAACTAAAACTGAAATAAACAAAGCACCAAACCAAACTCGTAATTTATCAGCAAGCTGAATGACAAAACTGAAAGCTCTTCTGGAAAAGACAGAAGCAGACATGAATGGTACCAGGGAGGGTAAATGGGAGCAGCTAACATTATCCTGAAGCTGCAAGAGGCTGAAGGTAGGATTGAATGGAGATACTGACATCTTTATTAAAAGAGATTCTACAGGCCCCTCCTTTGACTTTAATTGTATATCCAGTCACTTATAAATCTACCCAAAATACTGACCTAAGTCCTGTGAAACCCTTGAGTACAGGGGAAGAATATTCATTTTTCCAGAATAATCGCATTCAAGTGCTTATGCTTATTAAACCCAATCTATCCAAACTATAGTTCACAGTTTGAGTTCACATAAATCTTTTAGAAGAACACAACTTATGTTTTAACTATGCATTCGCTTGTAGATCTGTGCTGTGTGCACATGCATATGCATGAAAGTTTGTGGGCAGGAGAGAGAAAGTAAGGTGAAGCAAGTGAGAAGGAAGAGAAAAAGGAGAATGCTAAAAAATATTTATTCCTATTTGTGCAGCAAGGCAAATTATCTGTGTAAGACCCCCGCCCACCTGACTAGGGCAGCCCCACTTACTACCAAATACCTTGGAAGTCCACCAAGCACTTGTCTGAGTCTATTTGGCACCTATTTGCAGGATTTCCATTTCACTCAGTTTTACAGGACAAACAACTTGGCCCTGCTGGGTCACAGGGCAAGAGGAGCATTAGCCTATGTTTCCTGCTCAACCACTGGACATCAGGAGCTGCCCTTAGCACCCAGACATGGGAAAGGGAAAAAGAGCCCAACACTTAGTACAGGTGCTGAGGGATGGCGGGTGTACTGAGATTTTGATGGGGGCATGGCTCAAGTGGTAGAGCACAGGCCTAGCAGGCAGGTATCACAAACAATATAAAAATATAAAAAGATATGGATGCAGAGCAGGGGAGAGCAACTAATCCCACAAGAGGAAGCAGGAAAGGGCAAGGAGCCCCTGGGAGGCCCCATAGATGTGTGGCATGACTGCTGGGGTAGGACAAGGAAGAGTTGCGGGGAGGAAGCTATGTGAAGTTGAGAAGCATCAGAGGTAGGCATGCAATATTTAAAAAGCCTGGAGGAAGCAGGCATGCTGAAAATGTGAGGAACAGCGGGGCAAGAGACCAGAGAGATGGGGGATGGCGTTAGACTCAGTATGCTGAATGCTTGGCTGTTCTCTCAGCCCGGGAAGCTTTCTCCATACTTACCTGGCTACCCTAGCTCAACTGTCATCACTTTTCATATCCCCTTTCTGAGCTTTTTTTGTTCTCTCTTTAGTATTTATCAGTCTCTACTATTCTGTATATCTCATAAACAAGTCAAGGATTTTCTTCCAGGTTGTCCACAACTGTATCCTAAAGCTAGACATAGCTGATGCTAAGTATTTGCTGAATGTATGAATGCCAACTCTAGGGCCATGGTCCCCCTTCTTGCTCCTTACAAGGAAGTACAAATCTGTTTTGGGGGGAAGATGTGTCTTTAAATAAATGTCTCTGTGTGTTTCTCTGGATTTCAGAGGCATCATTAATGGTTTGGTGGTCTCTTTTCACTTTTTCTCTTCTAGCACAAATAAACCTGGATACATTCAAGGCACTAAACTCAATAAATATTACTTGACAGACCTAACAAATTTGTTTAACTCAACATTCTCAGTAAAAAGCTCTCTTTCAACTTAAAGAGCATACAGAACTGTTATAAAGGCTCAACATATAAACATAAAAAGCATGTGAAAAGCAACACTGTTTTGATTTAAGTTACTGCTATCAGTATGGACAAGGGCTATGAAAATGGCAGAAAGCATTTTGGGAATGAAGTAGAGCTTTTTTCCTTGTTCTTAAAGAAACATCCCAAAGAACCTAGAAACCCTGGGAGCAATGCCTCTTTGGGATGTTACAACAATGTCTTAGTTACAATGAAAACAAATTTTCAGTTTATCATGAGTTTAAAAATTGATCAAAGTACAGAGAAATGCCCAAATGAAGAGCGTATGTAAGCACTTCAGCAATCACTTGCATTCTTTTCTCTTTTAGAGGAGGAAATGCAAGAAAGCAAGCATCACATCCCAACCTACCTACAGGAGTGTCATTGGACTCCACAGTTGGTGAAAGAATAGCTAATTCATAAGAAGAAAGGAAAAGTGAAACAAATAAAAGTAAACTACAGTGAATAGAATGGATTTCTACTGCTTAAGCAGAGTATTTTTTAAATGAAAAGCCACAGTGGCATGGCCTGTAGTGCGATAAATCTGCTGAAAAGTAAGTTTCTATATGACATTTTTTGACTTTTTGAAATAGAAATTTAACAAGAAAAAAGTTAACTCACCAATAAAAAAAACCCCAAGAAATTCTAGTATAATATTTGCACCAATTCTCTTACTTAATAAAAATGAATGGCTCTTGTTGTGAAAAGACTAATAATACATGCAAAGATATATTACCTTGGTATCTTTGAATCCTGCCTTTTCCAAATGGCATCGGTAAGTTCAAAGGAATATAGTGTTCATGATTGCACACCACACGGAGAAATTCAAACTTGTATTCAAAGAGGGTCTGAAGGAAAAAACATGTTTAGTAATAAATTAAAACTTCAGTGGATACTTAACACAGATTTGTAAAAAGCCTATGAGAAACAACACACCCAGTCCTGGAGGTCTATCTCTTAAACCCTCTGGAAACTGCATGCTGTATTTCAGTTTACAGATTGTAGAACGGCTACAGGGATTTGTTTGAAAACATTTCATTAAACAATGTCTCAGCTATTCTTTAGAACATTATTGTTTATGCTCCTCCTACTTCAAGAAAAGATTTCAAGGAACTTATAATTACAGACACAGAGTTGATACAATTAAAAAAAATTAGTAAAGCTTAAAAAAAGAAAAATGACCAATAATTCCACTAGAGGAAGGTATCATGACTACTTCTCTTATCTTATTAAATAAACTGTGATTTGCAACAGACATACTTTTAGTTCTGCAGTTCAGATATTGTTTCAGGTGTTTAAGAGCAAACCAATGGGTGTATTTACTTCTTATTCTGGAGTACCATGCCCCAATAGTTCACATATGTTAACACAGTTAGTGCCACCATTTCCAAGAGGAGTGAGCTGGGTTTCTGGAACTGAAAGAACATTCTGAGAACTGAGAGCAGGATGGACTTCCAGTGAAACACAAAGAACTGCATGCAACAGCCACGCTACCTTGGGGTCTCCAGGAGCAAAGCAGCTGATGTAGTTGTTTATCTGTTTGAAGACAAAGCCCCTGTCCATGAAGGTGAAACATCTCTGTGGAGGAAAACAACCCATAAGGGTCAGTGTTTCAGGCCCAAACCTTTTGGAAACTTGGGTTCAAGGCAGTATTTGTTGTTAATAACCTTATTAACAAGTGAAGTACCCCCTCTAGTCTCTGCTACGCAGCTACTTAAAAAGCACTTTGAGCCGTAGCTGACACCCTCTCTCTTGGAGGCCCTCACCTTGATGAAGACAGCAAGGCTATGATTGGCATTCTTAGATGCCTCTGGGTTATCCCGAAACTTCTGAGTGATGTGTGGCATCAGCATATTCACCACAGTCTCCACTGCATGATGATAGGATGCAGGAAACCTCTGGTTCCGCAGTACCTAAAAGTATTCAAAGCAAACATTTATTATTTTTTAAGTTATGACCTTTTTTAGGGGAAATATATGATTTCCATTTTTTAAAACCCAGAGTTCTAATCTTATTTATGTGCCATTAGATAAAACGAGCTACTCTTCTTTTCCTCAAAGTACTACAGCAGTGTTCAAATACCTCAAATAAGAACCTCAAATAAGTACCAAGGGTTCCATTTCAACATGGTAAAGACCACCTTGGAGGTGTTTATAAAAATGGAGATTCAGTCTCCACTCCCACTGATTCTGATCTAAGAACTTGGCAGGGAAAAGGAGAAGGAACCTTCATTTTTACTAAACATCTTTGGTGATTCTGGTGCTTGCACCTCTCAGAGACCTTTTTAGAAAGCACTGGCCTAAAGTCTGCATATTTTTAGTTTGAATACTTGGAGCTTAAGTCTCTCTTTAGGCCAGTTTAAACTGCCTGGCAGCAGTCTGCTTCAAGTTAACTTTTTATAATACTCTTTCCCTATCACTAAAGCTTGTCTAAAAAAATTACTGACTACCTAGCAATTAGCACACATCTACCACTGTATATCTTCTACATGTCGGGCGCTTGCACTACATCTTTCTACGTACTTTTTCATTCGATTATTCTAAGATCACTAAGACTTTAGTCCTCATTAGAGGGCCAAGAGGTCAATGTGTCCTCAGTCATACAAACTAAAATGTTTCAGAGTCAGATCTACCCTGAGTCCAAAGGCTCCTCCTCCGACCTCCTAAACAGATCAATTTCCCTAGTCTGAAATGGAAAGAGTGCTGAACTAAATGCTCCATTACATTTATCCATGCCTGCATTAATCCTAATAGCCACAAGAGGGGAGTATTGTCATCTTCATTTTATAGATGAGGAAACTGAAGGTTAGCGTTCACAGAGTACAACCTGATCTTATTAGCCTTCTTTTCTTTCCCTTCTGGTAACGGAGTCCCTGTGTTATACAGGAGCACGTGACTGCCCAGCTCTAGACTACATTTCCCAGTGTAACTTGCAGGTAGATGTGGGTTGCATGCCTAAGTTTTATGAAATGGCCTACAAGAAGAAGTGACAGGAGCCTTCTCCAGTCCATAGTCCATGGAGCTGCTGGCTTTCAATGTACTTTTCTTTCCTGTGCTGGAACTGTATAGTGGTGGTAAGCCAAATTCTCTACAATGTGGATGAGGGTGACACCCTAGGCTGGAGAATTGGGTACAAGGAGGTTAAGTCCCTGAATGACCTTGGGGAACAAGCTGTCTCTTCTCTCCAAACTGCCTACCAACTCACAGTTTTCCAAAATAGAGAACAGAACTTTCTGTCTTACATAAGCCACTATTATTCTGGCCTGTTTTAGAGCTCTCAAACCAGGAACCCATCAAATTGGTAGTCGTTTATAAAACTGGATTCAGGACCTGGATATTTCTGACATGACAGCCTGCATTATTTTGTGCACTAAACTGCAGAACCTATTATGACAATTCAAAATACTAGCTTTATAATAATTTAAATTCTCAAGTCAATAGCAAGAAAATCTTTGCAAACATGCATAGAATCAAGAATCCATTAAAGTAACATCAAGTTATAAGATACAAGTTTATCTATTTTAAAAAATGGAACAGCTAGTTTTGAAATTTTAAAGGGATTTTGTTCTCTATGTGCAACCAATAACTCTTATGTTCTGAGGTTTAGAGCATTACAGATAATCAGCTTACAGGAGCCCTGGAAAAGCCAACTAGCCCTAATGCATACTGCTAGCTACCCAAACTGGCCACTTCTGAAGAAGTGCTATCCCAAGTGATGCCTGTGGCCTTCAGAATAGGCCTGACTCAATGGCTGCTAAAACCATGAAAACTGGATGAAGAACTCCATCACGGATGGACTGAGACTAGGTAAGCCTATTAATCAATCTTATCATTAAAATTAGAACAACCACACACATATGCTCCTGATATCATGAAGGAGTACCAGCTATCAAGTATCCTTCCAGAAAGAAAAAAATGAAACCGAAATCAAACCAAGGCTCTAAATATGACTACAAGTTTACAGGGAATACAGGGGACAGAGAGCCACACCATATCAAACTGTGAGGTTATGATCAGTCAAATTTAAAATGTGGCAATTCTGCAGGACAAATGACCCACTTTCTTCAACAAATATAGTGCATTTAAAAACAAATGGAGAGAGAACAGTTTGAGAATTTTAAAAAGCTAAGAGACGCATCAATTAAGTGCAATTTATGGACTTTATTTAGATTCTGACTCAGTCAAACCAACTGTAATATGACATTTTGGGGACACCTGGAGAAAACTGAATATAGATTGGGTGTTAGGTGATAATAAAAAAATGCTGCTAAGTTTTCTTGATATAATAGTATTATAGTTTTACCTTTAAAAAGACTTGTTAGAGATGACACAGTAAGGGTTTCAGAGATAAAATAATAAAATGTTAGGGAATTATGTTTAAAAACTTATAGGAAAAAAGTGTGAGAATGGCAGAATGCTGACAATGTTGAAGCTGAAGTGTTGATAATGTGAGATTCAGGCCACTATTCCTGCTACTTCTGTATTTGTTAGAATATCTCTACAGTAAGTTTTTATTTTAAAAAAGTGCTAAGTAATGATGGGTAATTTACATACCAACCCATCATTAATGCTGTTTGGTGATTTGGAAATTATAACTCAGGCCTTGGAAGGTCAAAAAAGCAGCTCTCCCAGCAGTGACAAATGGCTGCGGCCACCCTAATTTCGACCATAAAACAAACTTCAGCCTTTTTACAAGGTGAGGCACACGTGTAATGGTAATAAAGAGGTAGGTAATTAGAAGCTTTCATGGAGACTGCTATAAACTGAAATGGAAGGAAAAGATCTGTGGTAATGGCTGGTAAGCAGAGCATGTAAGAGTAGCTTAGAGGAGAGGACACTGAGACACCAAGACTTCTTAGCTAAACACCTTCTAATTCCTGGCCATGGCCTGCTGTGGTGTCTCTTGCCAGGGCTGGCAGAGTGATCCCCCCGGCCTAGCTACCATCATCTGCTCCTCTGACAGATGCTTCCAGTCAGGGTCTGCTGCTCAGCCCCTACCCTTACAAGTCCAGCCTCGTCCAGCCTGTCTGCTGTGTGCCCTGTTCCATGCCCTGTGTGAGCTGGACACCATGTGCCACCCTGTTGCCTAAGCAACTCCCACTACCCATCTCCTCAAATGAATGGGACATTCCTGAAGAACTACACCCAGCCTAGCTACAAATGCCCCTGTAAGTGCTGCTATTAAAGCCAGAGGCTTTGCCTACAGTGATTAGCTACCCCAAATTCTACAGGTCATCTGTGTACCCAAAGCAGCTGCTGCCCAAGCCATTGCTCCATGAGCAAGGACTTTGGAGTGGTCTTCCTTACTGGCTTCTTCAACTCTCTAGTAGGGTTTTGGGTAATTTTACTGCTCTCTGGGGCACAATAAATAAGACTTTTATGAATGAACTTCATTCATTTTTTTTCCTGACTTAGCAAAACAACAACAAAATAGTAAGGCTGGCCAGAAATCTGCCAATAGCATTTAATAACAATCTTGTTATTTCCCCTTATCAGAATCCCAACATTACTACCTCTCTTGTTCATTTTCTTCTGCAATATCTTTTCTTCCTCCAAGCTCATAATTTTCATTCATGAAAGTTAGTCTCCTCTCTAGACTTCACATTTACTTCACTCTGTACCCATCTCAGATCTCCAACTACAGGGAATGTGCTGAATGATGGACCCTCCACTGTGCTCTGAAATGTATCTAGCCACCCTTGCCTTGTGTAGGCTGTTCCCAAGGAATGATCGAGGAGGCAGGGATGCTAAGGCAGGCTTGTTGCTGGGGGACATGAGACTCTGATGACTGACTTTGGCTTGGGGACCTTCCAGTAGCCTTGCTCACTTCTTTTAAAACTGTCTTGCAATCAAAATGTGGCCTTCCTTCTCTTTCTCCTTAACTTTAAAACAGATCAGCACTGCCCTGTGATGACTCTACCACTGCTTCATAGACTACCTTTCATTTTCCCTCATTGTCATTCCCCAATACATCTCTTCCAGGGCTAATCTGATCTAACACAGATCAGACTAGGATTAGACGAACACAATCCTTTTCCCTAGAGAAAAGCTTAGGCTTACAGTTTCAGTGTTCTGGTGCTCACAAACCTACTTCTCTAGTTCTGGCTGTTCTTTTCCTTGACCATATCTGAGTTTCTATGCTAGACTTCCACACCTGGAAGTCTGTTTGACTGTGCCACTGCCCCCATGGCAACAACTGCTGGTTGCCTCCCACTGTCTGTTTTCTCTCTCATGGTAATAGAATCTCAGCTTTAACTGGATACATGAATACTCAGAATAAAGACTATCTCCGCTAGCATCCCTTGCCGGTAGGTATGGTCATATGAGTAAGGCTGGCTAATAAGGTAGCATTGGCAGTGATGTGTAGCTTCAGGGTCATATCCTTCAAGAGAAAAGATGGATTTTCTTCCTAGTACTGGCTACCCTGTTGGTGCGAGTGGTGACCTAAGTTAGGTCAAGAGAAGAAGCAGCAATCCAGGGGCACTATGAATAAGATGTAAGAAGTCCAGGCCCCTGATAACTTATAGACGAATCCCCATGTGAGCTTGGACTTTCATGGGAGAAGAAATACACTTTTTTTTCGTTTAAGTCACCATTATTATGTGTCAGCAGCTAAACCTACACAGCTTAAAGCTTAAGATACTCTAAGCACTACTCATCACCTCTTATCTCCCTTCGTAAACTAAGTCCCCTGCTCTACTGCCTATCTCAAAGTTCTCTTACTGAGTATCTAGGTAGGTTTGTTTCTTCCATCCAAATCTGACATACAATGTTCTGTTGCTTGAGTTAGGTTTATTGAAGCAGAATTTACATATAATAAAATCCAGACTTTTAAAGTAGAAAATCTGGCAAATCTTCACAAGTAGATATAGTTGTGCAACCACCATAATAAAGATGGTCCATTTCTGTCATTC